AATTCTGATTTAATACTGCAGAAGAAAGTGAGGAGGGCATGCTCTATCATGGAGCTCTCTGAACCTCCCATTCTTCATTTCGAAAATGACACGCACCAGAACTACCTGGAAGTTCTTCAAGACCTACTAACATACAATCCAGGAGTGTCCTTGGAGCTAAATATAGAATCTCAACTGATCACAGTGTGTGTGAAAATTTTGAAGATGTACCTGAAATGCACGTTGTTTGAGGGTGCAGAGTTGAAAGAAACTAGGCAGCACCGAAACTGGATTCTACCCATGGGAGCAGCATCGAAGGAAGAAGCAGCAGCGAGGTCTCCCCTAGTGGTTGCGGTGCTGAAGGCACTGAGGGGACTGAAAGGAGATTCATTCAAGAGGTATGCTCCAATTTTTTTCCCGTTATTGGTGGAGCTTGTGCGGAGTGAGCACAGCTCCTCACAAGTCCCACAAGTCTTGAGCACCGTGTTCCAGACGTGTATGGGTCCAATGATGGGTGAATAGAATAGGATGGTTATACTTGCGTTGAATTTTGACATACAAACACCTCAAGGATAGATTGCGAGCAGACACAAATCACTGGTTTCTTCTTTTGAATTTTCATGTTTCTGTTGGCAGTAGATACGAGCATTACAGGTTTCGTGTGTTTGGTTGCTAGTGATATGATACAAACTAACTGATTATTGTTATAAAAGCTAAGAATAGAGGACGATGAGATTTGGATGTCATGTCCTTACATTTTTTCTGCACTGCCTATTTTCTTCCTTCATGTCGTGATTGTGAATGCATAACTCTCATGAGCATAATAGAAACTTGGAAGTGGGGATTGCGAAGGATATTATTATATAAAAGATGGCCCAGACGTGGTAAGTCGTTTATACCTTGAACTGAGGTGATTGCCTACGTCTCCAAAGTCATTTATAAAGCCACAACTTGTTTTGCCCACCGAAAGCGAAGCATTACTTAATTAAAAAAAAAGAAAAAAAAGAAAGGAAAAGTGAGATGTGAGGAGTCAGGAGTGGAACTGCTTTCCTTGGTATGTCATTCCAAAGCGCCAATACGGGGGAGCCACGTCGTAAGAGGCAATGGTTTTGCCGCCGATGAGAGTAACCTCGAAAGAGAGAGACTGTCCGATGAGATCGAGAGAGGAGTGCCAGTTCTGTCCCCAGTTTCTGGCCATTGGAATCCAAGCCGTTGTGTGGCCCTTCACTTTCACTCCCACCACTTCCCCGTCAAGGCCCACATTGCTTATCAGCACCTGGAAGAAGTGGGAGCTCCCGTTCAAGCTGAATCTCAACCCGCCTCTCCGCCCACATCTGACCCTCCTGTATTGCACAGGTATTATCTCGGCTCTGGATTCTGCGATCCCTGTGAAGGCGGCATGAGATAGTTCCAAGTGCTCCTTTGGGAAGTTGCACCAACCTCCGTAATCGGAGGAAAGGCCTGAATTGGGAGGACAGAAATCGGTGGCGGTGACCACCACGGAGGGGCTCCCTTGAAGGCACCACCGGATGTGGTTCACGCACCGCACTTCCAGACAAGCTCCGCAGCTGCTTCCCCTGTTGAACAGCTTCCCGCTCAGGCCTGCGCTGTACCCGCCATAGCTGCTCTGCCTCAGATCTCCATACCCACAGGCGCCTCCTATCACCATCACCATCACCAATTAATTAGTCTTGAGGAATGAAGAAATATAGATGGATAGGAGTAGAAAAGAGAGAGAGAGAAAGAACCAGTGGTGACGGAGGAGGAGCCGTCCTTGTCTCTGGATAGCGTGGCGGTGGCTATCTTCCAGACATCATCCTCGGCGGTGGCTTGAAAGAGGCGACAGAGAATGAAGAGGCTCAATGCGAGTTGCTGAAGCCCAGAATCCATGAACAACCAGTGTAGTTGGGTTGGGATCCTCACAGTCACAAGTGGCAGACAAAAGTGATGCGTTTGAGAGGGTTTTGGGGCTCCTTTAGATCATCATTCATCGGGCTCCGCTTTTCAAGACTGGTGGGGATGCTGCGACAAAAGATTGCTCTGACATGTTTTGACTTTGACAGTTTCCGTTTCAGACCAATAAAAAATACTTATGAAAAGGGGCCAATTACTTAGTCTTGCAGGCCCATCTCATTCGGCGGCCCACTGTCATTAAGCGAAGGTGTCGAAATGACAAAAAAAAAGTGCTTACCTGTTTTGGCTATGGCCATGGGTTGTTGATAACCTCAAATTAAGCTCAAAATTGCCAACTTTAGCTTAGGTTTTTTTTACTCACAGTGATGTCCTTTAGGGGAAGTACTAAGTAGAGTGCAATGAGGTAGGGCTTTCTGGTGGATGAGAAACCGTGTCGGTGTCTCTGCGTCTTCCTCTTTGCTCAGAACCGTGGCGGCTAGGCTTTTCCTCTTTGCGTAGAAAGAAGGCCAATGCATCAATAAAAGCCTGGTAGGTGTTGGTATATGGGTATAGGGCAGCCTGGGCCTGGGCCTGGGCTAATGATCGGTGGTGGTGGTGGGACAAGAGAGCTTTGAATGCCCACCGTCGACATGATTAGTTCCAGGCTTCCAACTCCTTGTGCCGCTAGTGCGTCAAATCGAGCGAGTGTAGGGATTATCGTTATGTTTTGCTCCCGCCTCTTCTTCTTTCGCCCTTCTTCTTTCTGTTATTCACTAAACTGCCATTTTCATTTGTCCCACGTGGCCACCCTACCCCTATCCCTGAGCCCTTCTCCTTCACCCTCCCTGATCTCTCTCTCTCTCTCTCTCTCTCCGATGGCTCGTGGTAGTGGAAATTTCAGCATGAATCTTCTTCTTCTCCTCCTTGTTCTTCTTCATCTATGCCTTTCCGCGGTGGCCGACGACGACGACGCGAGAGTCTCCAGATTCCAGGAATATCTCCAAATCAACACAGTCCAGCCCAAGCCCGATTACTACAAAGCCGTTGACTTTATCAACTCTCAGGCTAAGTCCCTCTCCCTCGAATCTCAGACGATGGAGCTAGTCAAGGGAAAGCCTCTTCTCCTCCTCAAATGGGTTGGCTCCGACCCAACCCTACCTGCCATTCTCCTCAACTCCCACACCGATGTAGTTCCCTTCGAGGAATCCAAGTGGACCCACCACCCGCTCCACGCTCACATCGACCACCACGGCGACATTTATGCCAGAGGTTCCCAGGACATGAAGTGCGTCGGGATGCAGTACCTCGAGGCCGTACGCAAGCTCAAGGCTTCTGGGTTCCACCCAATCCGATCCGTCTATCTCTCCTTCGTCCCCGATGAAGAGATCGGCGGCCACGATGGCGCCGAGAAGTTCGCCGAATCACAGCTCTTCAAGAGCTTGAACATCGGTGTCGTGCTCGACGAAGGTAAACACTTGTGGAATCGATTGTAGATCTACCTCACCTTTTCTAAGAGCAGCAAAGTGACAGTTTTTATTTGGGGTCATGCCTCAGGTCTGCCATCGCCTACTGAGAGTTACAGAGTATTCTATGGAGAGAGGAGTCCCTGGTGGCTGGTGATAAAGGCTAAAGGACCACCTGGCCACGGTGCCAAGCTCTATGACAACTCTGCCATGGAGAATCTTCTGAAAAGCATTGAGAGTATTCGGAGATTCAGAGCTTCCCAATTTGACCTGCTCAAAGCTGGTGGCACTGCTGAAGGAGATGTCGTCTCCGTTAACATGGCCTTCCTCAAGGCTGGCACACCTTCCCCAACTGTAATATTTCGCTCTCTCCATTTTGATTGATAAAGTTGATGCCTTTATAATCACTGCACCTGACAATTTGGCTCTCGCTCAAGGGTTTCGTGATGAACCTGCAACCATCGGAGGCAGAAGCTGGTTTCGACATTCGTGTCCCACCAAATGTTGATTCTGAAGCACTTGAAAGACGTTTGGTGGAGGAATGGGCACCCGCAGCGCGCAACATGTCCTTTGAGGTGATTTCTTACCCACCCCGTATAGACAAAAGTTGTTTGTTACCAAGTTAAACTAATGTGGAGACGTTAAGCTGGGGCAGTTCAAGCAGAAGCTTTCGGGGGAGCCGCTCCTTACGGCAGCGGATGATTCAAATCCGTGGTGGGGGCTCTTGGAAAATGCGGTCAAGGACGCGGGAGGTAGGACTCGTAAGCCTGAGATTTTCCCTGCATCAACAGATGCTCGCTACTTCCGCAAGGCTGGCTTGCCCGCGTTTGGGTTCTCTCCCATATCCAACACCCCGAGTTTGCTTCACGACCACAATGAGGTTTGCATATGACCCTGATGTATGTGGATTGTTTGGTGGATCATCATCATTCTTATTTCCTAACGCATGTGGTTTTGCTTTCTTGCAGTATTTGGGCAAAGCCGAGTACTTGAAGGGCATTGACGTGTATGTTTCAATCATCAAGGCTTACGCATCATTTGAAGGCAACAGTGGTTCACGAGATGAGTTATAAGCCCATTATTGTTGCAAGATATACAACCTTTGTGCTTGCTGTAACAAATGTGTACAATCGAATAAAGATCTGAATCCATCATGCTGTGGTAAATCAGACAAACAGTGTGCAAATTGTCGTGCTTGTTATTCTGGGATTGGGAAATGAAAGGTCGTTGACGGGCCGTATTATGAATTCAAAATGGGCCTATTCATGGTACCGATCCAAATCTGAGCCCAATTCAAAGTCCATTTAAATATCCCTCTCTCTCTCTTTCACTCAATCTGTCTGATTACATACAGCCTGCTCCGATGTTATCCTCCTCTGGAAGCTCCCTCTTATGGCGGAACCGTGCACCTGCACCTGCACCTCGGCCTCCGCCTCCGCATTACTTTCCATTGTCTTCCAGTATAGGGTTTGGTCACAGAAGCACAACTTCTCCTCTTTCTTGTTCCTCTGATATTGCCCCTGGATTCAATCGTAAGCTCTATATCTCTCTCGATTCTGAATGATACTGGTTGTTTCCTTATAAACTCTGACTCTCTGTGAAGCCTGGTCAGAGTTCGCTCAAAATGTCTCCGGCGAATGGGACGGTTTCGGAGCAGATTTCTCGCGCGAAGGGAAGCCGCTGGAACTACCTGAATCAGTGGTTCCAGAAGCCTATAGAGAATGGGAAGTGAAGGTGTTCGATTGGCAGACGCAGTGTCCCACTCTTGCCCAGCCCGACGCTCAGACCTTTCTTTACAAATCCATCAAACTCCTCCCCACCGTTGGATGTGAAGCGGATGCAGCCACCCGTTACAGCATCGACCAGAGGAGCATCGGGGCAACCAATTTGTCTGCATTAGCATTTTCTTTCTCTGTCACTGGCTCCTATGTCGCTGTGTGGCCCCTCGGGAACGACCAGCTTGAGGTGGAGCATTGCCTGATCAATCCTAACGACAAGGAGTCTCGTGTGAGGATTTTCCAGGTTGTCCGCTTAGCAGAGACCAGCATGTTGTTGCAGAGTGTCAAAGTCTTCCGTGAGCTTTGGGACGGTCCGTTCAGAGATGGCGATCAGCTCGGAGGTTGTGCCATCCGTAGCTCCGGCTTTGCTTCCACGCCTACCACACCAGCTTCAGTGGTCGCCGGTTCGTGGAGAGCTCTACTCGCTACCGCTAGCTTTCACGCTTCTGATTCAGTGAGTTGGCCCGACATGTCTATGTGCATCCATTCCAGTGATTGTCGTACTAAATGGAATCTGTGGTCATGTTCAGGGTTGCATTCAACAAGCTACTGGCGAGAAGGTGACTGAGATTGCGCGAGAAGAAAAGGATCTTCTATTGCTTCCGCAAGAGCTGTGGTGCTCGCTCCAAGAAAGCAAAGACCGCGAAAGAGTATTTTCGGTAGGATGGTTGTTTGAGCCAGGCCATGCGATCACATCGACCTGTGTCTTCTCCAGCGATTCTAAGCTAAAGGTGACAATAATCATCTTTGTTGACAGCTACTCTTCTCCTTGTGGTCATTATTATATCTCTTTTACTTTTTACTTTTTGCGCAGGAGGTAACAATGGGAAGAGAGACTGCTCTATCATCAGATGTATAATCATCGTTTAATAATTTTGTTTATAAGGAGGTGCGCATATAATTCAAGTTACAATAATCCCGATAGTGGATGATGTTGGTTCAGTTTATATACCCGTTTATACACTTTAGAGCCTTTGTTGATTCAATATTTACTGGGAAGGATCCAGACTCTGTAAAGTGTGAAGAACTATATAACTTTTGCATCTCTTTGGCTCAGCTCTCTATCAACAACGGCGTAGAGTAGAGTGTCAGTTTGGGAAAGAAATCGATGGAAAAAGGGTCAGACTGAACTAAGAGATGGCGTTGTTCCTGAGGCTCATGTTTATGCTTTTCCTCATTGTTCTTCCTGCAATGCCCTTCTGCATCATGGCGACAAACTCTCCGTAATCAATCCTTCCATCCTGAAACAAGAAGAAGAAAATGATCCCTGGCCCTTTTACCATATAATATCCAAGCAAATGTGCAGGTCTCTCACATTGTCTTGGTCGACTTCCTTGATCACATCTTCTAGAAAGACATCACTCATCCCCTGTTCAGCACAAGCTTGCTGCAGCTCGTCGATTGTGATATAACCGCTCCCATCTTTGTCAAAGTAGCTGAAGGCTGAGAGGAGATGTTCCTCGCGCTCTAGTTTGTTCAGATGGATTGTTGCGGCAATGAATTCACCATAATCTATGGTGCCACTCTTGTCAATATCTGCCTGGTAAATCACAGTCACGCAAACAAACAGGTTAACGTTTGATGCGGTGAGAGATGAGAGATGAGATGAGTTGAGAGCAGCTTGCTTACGGCCTCCATAAGGTCACGAATCTCAGTATCCTTGAGGGTAGAACCATATCTTCGCAACCCCGCTTTTAGCTCGTCAAATGTAATCGCCCCACTGTTATCCGTGTCCATTGCTTTGAACATTTCCTTTAGCCCAGCAATTTCTTCTTCAGAGAGACTCTCAGCTATGACCTGAACCACACAGCAGAGCACAAGACATTTAATGGACAGGTGTTGATAAGAAACGAAAGAAGGCTTTGCATCCGTGTGCTTACTCTTAAAGCCATCTGCTTTAGTTTATTCATGGCAGAGAACTGCTTAAGACGAGAAAGCACAGCAGGATCTAGTGCTCTGTCTGGCGCAACTCCATTTTCACAGATCCAAGGATGGCCTGCATGGTTCTAAGTAAGCAAACAAGATACATATATACCAAGAACAAACTGGTTAGACTTACGCAATACTTGGTGAGCGGTCAGTCGCTCAGAGGGCCGGGAGCATAGCATGCCACGGATCAAGTCTTTTGCAGAGTCAGATATTAGGGGCCAAGGGTCAGAGTCAAAGTCTATGTGTCCCTTGAGCACTGCATCAAATATCCCTTGCTGTGTTTCTGGAGTTGAAGCAGACAAGAAAATCGTTTAAGAAGGTTTTACCTCTGAAGCCTTATCAGAGCTGTTTCATTAGGGCGCATACCTGCCCAGAAGGGAGGGACTCCGCTCACCAATATGTACAGTATGACCCCTGCGGTCCACACATCCGCCTCTGGTCCATAGTGCTTGAGCAGGACCTCAGGAGCAACATAATACGGACTTCCAACCACATCCTCGAAGATTTGACCTGAAAGAAGGTTGCATGCACATGATGTAAGTTTCGAGCTTTAGAAACTCTACGACTGACAGAGACGTCTTCACCTGGTTTGAAGAAGACGGACAGCCCGAAATCAATGGCTTTGAGAGAGAAGTCGTCGTCCTTATTCACCAACAAGAAATTCTCGGGCTTTAGATCTCTATGCATGACACCAAGCGAGTGGCAAGCCTCGACAACACCAACAATGATCTTGATGAGCTCAGCTGCTTTTCTCTCGCTGTAATGCCCTCTCTGGATAATTCTGTCGAAAAGTTCCCCACCTGAGCAGAGCTCCATCACGATGTGAACGTACAAGGGATCCTCGTAAGCGCCTTTAATGGTGACAATGTTCTTGTAACCAGCCAGATGGTGCATGATCTGAATTTCCCTGCGCACGTCTTCCACATCTTCCTTTGAAATCAGCTTCCGCTTTGTGATAGACTTGCACGCGTATTCACGCCCTGTTGAGATCTCTCGGCACATGTAAGTGGTGCCGAACTGTCCCTGGCCTAGTTTGTGTCCCAGCGAGTAGAGATCTCGGATGCTTGGGGTCTTTTGACCAAGAACGAAGCAGTCTTGGTTCCCGCCGCTGTGCTTCATTGTGGCTTCTTTCTGTATTACATTTACAAGAATGGTTTGGCCTGTAAGTGAATTAGCATATGACATGTGTATTTGCCCTTCAAAACAAATCATTACCCAATCCCTTACCAACTTACTTCACCTCCCCTCCCAAATCAGAGGAAAACAGAGCATCTCCCATAGCACGATCTGGAAACAGAGGAATGAATGGATGCGTGATTTAGCAGGCAGAAGAAAGAAATTCCGATGATCAAAAATTGTCTTCTTTGTGGCAATATTCTCGCCAATGTCGTGACTAAAAATAACAGGAGATGATGACATCTACGATTAATTAATAGTCATCTATAAACTAGTTTCTTTTATTAGAGTATTCTAAAAATGCCACAGAGCTCAGGGCTGCTTTCCATTAGTATATATTTTGTGTCCGCCGGAAATCGTGGATAATAAGTTTATTCTAGGGTTTTTTGGCCTCTCCAGTTTCTCTCGATAACCTAGCAGTAGCTCTTTTCTTTTCATAGAATCCTTCAAACTAAACTCAGGCTATCAGTAAAACACTCTAAGGTTTTTGCCTCTCAACCTAGCAGTCGCTCTTTTCTTTCCATCTCCATGGACAATAAGAGGAAGAGGCTCGAGGAGTTGGATGTAATCTTCTTCTTCTCTTTAACCACTTTTGACTGGACCTTGTTTCTGTTTTGTATTCTTTTTAGTCGAAGCCAGAGTTAGAGGATTCAGATGACTTAGGAAAGCCTAAGGACGTACCAACTCTCATGATTTTCCCAACTGATGCCTCCATTTATACTTTCCACTGCATAAATACATGATACTAACTTGAGCCAAAGAAATGCTCGATAATATGCTCTATGACATCTGCTCCTTTTTTTTTTTTAATTTTTAGGTTGAAACAACTCGGGACCATTCAGTGATAGAGTTGAATGATTCAGAGGCCTTAGTGAAAGCCTAAGAAGCACAAGTAACAGGGGGTCTGATTTAAACTTTTATCTAAAAATTTGTCCTGATACTTCTGTTTTGACTTGTGCTTTTGAAACCTAATAGCTCATCTCCCTCTTAAACTACATTGAATCTGCTTTTCTGTTTATAACTATGTTTCCTTCATTGACCTTAACCATATCTTTTTCCAGGAAAGTGATCGAGATGAAATGACTGCCATGAATAAGGTTAGCAACCATTAGTTTTTTTGTTAGTCTTAAAATAACTGCCACTGCCAGTCTCACAAACCTCTTAAAAGCCTTTTCTCCTTAGAGTTAGGCTAAAAGTTTATATGATAATGAAAATCTTAATCTTCTACAAAGAAGCTGCACGCAGTTCAAATTCCGTTACCTTCTGCGTTTTTTCTACTTTTTTTCTATGGAGTTGCAAGGAATCAGTTTCAAAACAAAGAAAGCGTATCAGTAGTGTATTTGCTGCTTCTTTTTTTCTTTCTATGTTGAGGAATGATACCTGTACACTATATCACTGATGTATTTGTTTAATTTTAACCATGTCCGAGCTGTAAGAGAAAGAAACTCCAAAGAAGGAGTGCTGTTTCGAATCTAATGATGCATATATAATGAAGCGGGAGTCCATTTTCGTAAAGGGATTCAGCTGTTCCCCGCCTAGGGATAAAATCAAGAGGGCATTGAAAAAACACTTCAGTTCTTGTGGACCGGTCACAGGGATCTTTGTTCCCTTTCATTGTAAAACCGGTTCTCCCTTGGGGTTTGTGACTGACTTGCTCCTCCAATTGCTGACATCTTATTTCAAATGCAAACCATATGATTTACTCCTTTTATTGTGTTTTCCTTTCAGATATGCTTTCATTAATATGGGACAAGAGGCAGAGAAGGCGTTAAAACTCGATGGAAGTTGCTTGGGAGGGGAGAATACTTTTTGTTACGATGGCAATAAAGAGAGACGAATACATAGGCTATGAACACTTTGATGGTCGTAAACGTTGTCGTCCTGCTCGCTTGGAGCAGCAAAGGAAACACTTCTCTGAGAGTTTCATAGTAGGACTCTCCTCAGCTACGTTTAATTTTATCTTTGTTGTTGAATCTTCTCATAAGTGACTTATCTTTACTTTGTGGTTATTTGTTTTTGTTGATGCTACAGGTGCCACCCCGTGAGCTAGTCATAAGGACTATACGCAGCTGATTAGTGGTTGATTTACCGTTGCTGCTACTTGGTTTATATGATGGAAACTTTATTTCTGAGACCAGTCTGTTGTTTATTCCTAAATCCAGCTTTATTTAAGAAATTAAGTCTTGAATCTTTTGTTTCACAATACTTTCAGTTATTTTATTTTGTGTTAACCATAAAAAAAAAGATTTAAGCTTTGCATTCGTGTAAGAGATACCCCAGCAAAAGGCAATTAAACGACTGAAATGTGTTAAGCCTGACTATCGAAAGGGGTTCCCATAACTTTAAAACCTATGAGACAGTAAATGCTGTTACTGTAATAGGAAATGGATAGGGATGCCAAAGTACATGTTTTGATTCAAATTCCAAGCTGCATTACAGAATCTGGCCCGACCAGGAAAACACGTCTTGTAGTCTGGATTCGGAACACCACTATTCCTTTATATGCTGTCCGGGGCACACCATCCTACACCATGAATTTTCGTTACACAACAAGGTGGCATTTTTAAACCTACAGTCATATTATACTTCAATCATCTGGAACTTACTTTCCATTCTTCAAATATGCCAAACTCCCCTGCAATGCGTTCAAACTCCGCTTGGTCTTTATACCGGACACTAACATCACCCCTTATGTTTTGAGCCTTTAAGACAAGGTCAGAACCTTGAATTGGTCTTGCTTGTCTCACTAAGTCAGAAAAGTACTTTGTATAGTTTCCCTTTGTAGACATGAGAGAAGCAAGTTAAACACATACAAATTCAAGCATCCACTCAAAACAGGTGGAAGGACACAAATGAGTTCTTGTGTTAAACGTTACCTCTGTCAGGTATCCCAGGTCCATTGCTTTCCAGTCAACCTTTATAAATGAAAACCCGTGAAAAAAAGTAGTGATGCAACCAAAGTGGGTAAATTAACACACTGACGCTTACCTTCACATCATTTAGCTTTATAGGTTCCAGATACTGACTGAAAAACTGTCCCAAACTAGACCCCTGCAAAATGAAAATGACAAATGTTATCTGAATCAGAAATTAATACATTATCCAAGTCATGGCTGTCTAAGTCTTATCTATGTCTCGAGAAACTATAGGACAAAGCTGCAATAATTCATTTTTCATACACAACTTAAAAGCCAAATGCAGTGAGCAGAGGCCTATTTGAAAAGAATCAGACTCCGGTACCAACATGTTCACCAAAATTGTATGTTCTGCAGATTTCTGGTCGAACAAACTGGCGGCCTTTGTGGTTTTCCTTCAATCTCAGCCAATCATCCCAGTAAGTGTATATTTGTTAAAGAAAGTCTTAGATGCGTCAAAGTATAGTCATGGAGATTCAAAAACGGATATAAGGATATGCCTTGGGCCACTTTGGCGATAGCTCATCCCAAGTCGATCTCGTCAGCATCCACCCAAGACCAGGAAAAAAATCTGATCGGTACAATGCATCTGCAAAATATTTTAGCTAGGTAGCATGAGCAGGACATAATGAGGTATATGAAGGAAAAGAGAGGATGCGGGGTAAGCAAAAGGAAGAAGAATCTTACAGGGATCGTGCACAAACTGCTTCTGCCCATTATCATTCCATGACGAAGCAGCCATAATGGATCTAACACATGCATGTTTGCACCCAGAAATGAATGAGAAACAGTAAGTGGAGATACGCTTGTAATACCTTAAGAACCTAGCTTCAGTAGGTAACATACTTATCCCTATCCATGAGACTAGCTGCAGCCTCAAAGTAATCAAAGAAGTCTGGAGCAATTTCCATATCATCTGTTAAAGAGACAGACAACCCCTTAAGCAATATTGCACACACGCAAGGTACAGTGAGGGTGAAGGATTCAAGAGCCTCACCTTCTAGTATAATCACTCGGCCAAATTTATGTTTGTAAAACAACTGGTCCAGTGCCCACTTGTAGTGCCCTGTATTAAAAAGTATTTCAGTCATGGAGCTGGAGGGACGCAGAGAAAGGAGAAACCAGTGCTTACGTGCAATTCTGTAGTAGGCAATCAGTTCGCCAGGCCTTTCAGTGACCACAGGTTCAAAATCCAAGTGCTAAAAAGTGGAAAAGAGCTCACTTATCTACATGACCAAATTACTCGAATAGTAATGACACTAGATTTTTTTTTTTTTTTTTTTAAAAAAAACCTGCATATACGTTAGTTGATTATAGCTCAAAGCCTTGCTCTTGACGGCTTGATTAGATCCATCCTGTCAGAAATGTTGTTAGTGATGCTTTGACTATAAAACTGTGTAAGAGGCGAGAGAAAGCCTGTGTAAAGTTTACACACCTGAGATATAAAAAGAGGATATTTTGAAGCAAGGAGACTTTGATATCTGCAAAAACAAAGAATAAGTCATTAGACACAGTAGACAGTAGATTTTCCTACAAGAAGTAAGGCAGTGGTTTAGAGAGTGTCTCACTTTAACACTGATTTGACTGTCCTTTCAAGGTAGTCTGCACGACTGCACGCCATAATGACCACAGCAGCCAGAGGCATCTGCTAAACCCAAGAAGGAAGAGGTTGGAGCAAGTGATGATAGCAAAAAGATACAAAAAGAAGAAGAAGAAGAAAAGCATCGGCTTATCCAGGACCTGTCCACCTTGAGTGAGCTTTGCTATTCCTTTTCCTGAGAGGAAAAAAGGGCATTATTGTAGCAGCAAGAAAAACAATTTGAGAGATGATAGCAACGCACGTTCAAACGTCTGGATGAGATCCTTTAGCTGCACGAGCTCTTGGTCCTGGCGACTCTTGATATCTACAACATAGAAGAAGCCCACATTCTACTTGCTTTTGTGAAGCATTGTGATATGAAATGGGGCTCACGTGATAGATAGATAGATACCTTGGAGAGCCAGAATCCGTGACTGTTTTAGGCTGACTTCATCTATCAGCGCTCGCATTTGACTCGTGCAATGGTTCTCTGATTCGATCTGCAGATTCGAACAAAATTAACGGCACGAAACAGAGGAAACCCACAGGGAGGGTTAGCTCACCGCGGAACCGAGGCGATCTGCATACTGTGATTGCGTCTGGAAGAGCCTCATCTAGACGAACGAATGAATCAAATCAAATCAAATCAAATCAGTGGATTTCAGATTGATGAGTGAGAAGCGATCCAAACTCTTAGATCGACTATCAAACCTGGACGTAGATGAACATGAAAGCTGCCGGTATCAGAAGAAATCTCAGGTCACAAGAAATCCTCGCCATATCCTCCGCCAACGAGTCCAAGACAAGAAATCCTCGTCGGATGGTTGCCGCCGGGGGCTTCTACTTGTTTGTTTCAAACGGCGTCGTTCGGGTACCCTCTTCCTTCAAACGGCGTCGTTTTTCCCTTTGTTCCTTGCAAATGCCATAAATAGCGACGACCCACTCTTCTTATAAAAGTTAATTAACACAACGACAAATGAAGAGCCGCCACCAACTACACGCAATTATCTTCGACTCGTCTTCTTCTACCTTTCTGTCCTCCATCTCATCTTTACTATCTTCAGATTCGTCCCCGGGGAAAGAAATAAGAAAGCTTTCTGCGAGTTTCCGATACCGATCTCCATCGATCTTCTGCTCAAATCAGAGATGGGCGGGGACACTGCTAGCTCCTCGTCTTATACCATTAAAATACCGCCGGCGAGGGAGGACACGCCTCTTCTCGGGAAGGGACCGCCGCTGTCGAGCCAGTTCAAGACCTTCGCCAATGTCTTCATAGCTGTGGTGGGCGCTGGGGTTCTAGGCCTCCCTTACGCCTTCAAGCGAACCGGATGGCTCATGGGTGTGCTCCTTCTCGTCTCCGTCTCCGTTCTGACCCATCACTGCATGATGCTTCTCGTCCATACCCGCCGCAAGCTCGACGCTTTGAATGGCGGATTCTCCAAGATCGGCTCCTTCGGGGACCTTGGATTTGCCGTCTGCGGCTCCCTCGGGAGGGTCGTCGTTGACATCTTTATTATTTTGTCTCAGGCTGGGTTTTGTGTCGGATATCTCATCTTCATCGGCACTACTCTAGCTAATCTGTTCGACCCTGATTCCCCCACGAGTCTCAGGCATCAGTTCACAAGGCTGGGCTCCGAGTTCCTGGGCGTCTCCTCCAAGAGTCTCTACATATGGGGCTGCTTTCCCTTCCAGCTGGGTTTGAATTCCATTAAGACCCTCACCCACTTGGCTCCTCTGAGCATCTTCGCCGACATTGTTGACCTTGGCGCTATGGCTGTGGTGATTGTGGAGGATTCCATGATTATACTGAAGCAAAGGCCTGACGTCGTTGCCTTTGGTGGTATGTCACTCTTCTTCTATGGGATGGGCGTCGCCGTTTATTCCTTCGAAGGTGTTGGAATGGTCTTGCCTCTTGAATCCGAGATGAAGGACAAGGACAAGTTTGGCAAAGTGCTAGCACTCGGCATGGGGTTCATCTCTTTGATATACATAGCATTTGGTTTCCTAGGTTACTTGGCTTTTGGTGAAGACACCATGGACATCATCACCGCAAACTTGGGGGCAGGACTTATCAGCACTATTGTTCAGCTTGGACTCTGCATCAACCTCTTCTTCACCTTCCCCTTGATGATGAATCCCGTGTTTGAGATAGTGGAGAGGCGGTTCTCGGGTGGGATGTACTCTGCGTGGCTGAGATGGCTGCTAGTCTTGGCTGTGACTCTGGTGGCTCTCTTCGTGCCAAACTTTACAGATTTTTTGTCCTTGGTGGGGAGCAGCACTTGCTGCATCTTAGGGTTTGTGTTGCCTGCTTTGTTTCACCTGCTGGTGTTCAAGGACGAGATGGGGTGGAGACAATGGAGTTTGGACACAGCGATAGTGGGACTGGGCGTGGTTCTTGCTGTGTCGGGAACTTGGAGTTCCCTGAGTGAGATCTTCTCGGTCAAAGTGTAAGCAAGTGGAGAGGTTTTGCACTTGTGTCCAATACGTGTGAAGTGTGCCCGTGCATATACTAGTACTGTTACTGTATATGGATGGGGATGTTGATTTTAAGAGTAAATTGATTTGTTCTGATTGTATTTGTATTTTGATTGTTGGAACTTGGAATAAAGAAACACATCAGCTCTGTTTACTATTATGTGCAGATACACAAAATAAATGGTTTGGTTATGTATTACAAAGTGTGTTCATCATGTCGGTCAAACAAAGCTTTGGTTTTGTACAACAAAGTGTTGAGTGTGTTCCTTCCAGGAATCATCAGCTTGTTCAAGATGCCTCTCGTAGAAAGAGACCTCACCATGGGACTTGATGCTGAGCGCCGAGATGCTTCTGGTCCCATAACGCCCCTGTATGGAGCCATGAGTCATAGAAAGAGTTAAGTATCATCGGGTGGATATTCAGTCATAGAAAGAGTTAAAACATCGTCGGGGGTTACAGCTGGTCTAAGCATGTCGACGAAGATTGAGCTGAGATGGTATTCAGTCTCTGGCGTGAAAACGTGAGGCAGCTCGGGTTCTTGGTCCTTGACCGTATCAGTCATCACCTCCTCCACCATGGTCTTCACCGGGAATTCACCACCCTCGTTGTCAGCCAGAAGCTGTTTGAAGCCCTCTCGCAGCCTCAGACACTGCAGAGCAAAAGCAGATTGCAAACGGGGATCCAGGGAGAGAATGAAATGGCACAATAATTAAGGGTACCTTGGGCCAAGGAGAGTCGAGGTTGGCGTTGGAAAGGACATGGATCCCCGGAGAGACTGGCGTCACGAGCTTGTCACCGTGGCGTGGCCGGTTGGTAATGTAAACCATGGATTTGGACAAGACATGAGCGACAACCAGGTTGAAGCCGTTGTATAGGGAAACCTCCTCTTGTATCTCTTCCGCAAACTCGGCAGGGCTCTTTTGGCTCTGCAAGTAACGAAGAGGAAGATCTCCACGGGATTTAGCATCCGGGAAGGAGGAGGTCTCCCTGAAATTGGTGAGGAAAGCGAGACGGCCATGCCTCGTGCATCCCAGCCACGTCCCGCCGCCAACCAGGTCTCTTCCTCCCATCGTCTCTCCGTCTTCCCACCAACGCAGCGCCTCCGTCGCCCTTCACCATTTACATTTTTACAAAACAAAAAAATTATCATCTTTGAAGCAATTTCAGAGGAGTGGATTCAATCAATTACCTCTTGTGGTATTCATCTCTATTCAGAAATAGAAGCAAAGGGTAAAGCGGATGCGATTGCCACAGAAACACTGCTATACACATCCTATCCTCTCTCGAACACGACAGGGATCAACCATCATCTCTCTCTCTGTTTAAAAAAAAAGGGAAGAAAAGTCTTTTTCTACTTGAGAGAGAGAACAGTGTGTGGTTTTTGTTACCACGAAACGGCAGCACGTGCACGTTTCAAAAACCGCCCGAGTGATATGCGTTTAACACAGTCGCCGGCGATGTGGTGATATCAGATCCAGATGATGATGATGTTCTCGAGATGCTTCGTTTCTCAATTTCACGCCCTCGTATGGCTGGTACATACTTGTCTTTCTCCCGCTGCGTTTTCTCTAGATGGATTATTCGAGTGCTTATGGGCTTCTTGGTCGACACCTTTCAGGTAGTGCTGCACGCTGTTCATCATGTTGGTGGAGCCATTTTAGAGTCACAAGCACCGTAATGACACATCTTCTGCCTCTCAATTGGAAGCTCGCCTTTGGGCTTTTCTATTTGTTGTTGATACTCTTTCTTCCTCCTTGTGCAGCCACCGAGGAGTTAAAGCTTATCGGCCGCTGCAAGATAATAATCTGGAGGTCCCATTCTCTTATTCTCTCCAATCACTTATTTGATTCAAACGAATGTCAGCAGAATTTTTAGCAAAATTCTTTCGATGCCTTCAGGATGTGTCTGCTTCCTCAGTTGCTGCACTGCGCTACGATCCAGATCTGAGAGTAAGGCTTCTGCCTCTAACTCTGAATACAACTGTGTATCCCTCCTTTCTTCCTACTTGTAAGTGAATTTGTCATCTCAGGATGTGAACATAGTTGCGACTTACAGTGACCATCACGGCAATATACGGCTTGGTAGGGTGAAAATGGGGGATCTTTCATCTTCTTGGGTTTTGGAGAATCCTTCCAATCAAGTTAGCCGCAAGAAAAAAGGTTCGCAGGTACCATCATTTTATCTCTTCATTTTTGGTGGATTTGCTCATCGGTTTAAGAACAGAATCATAGATGAAGACGTCCATGGAAATGGAGCTAGAGGAAGCAACTTGTAGTGTGCTTACTTAACACTCTCACTGACAGAACAATGAAAACCTCTCATGAACTTCAGTTGTTATAAACATGTGCAGAAGCTAGCAAGATATTATATGTTTCCTTGGATTTATCCTTAAGCTTGCTCAGATCCTCTCTCTACTCTGGTTGCTCATCATTCTTTGTATGGAATTAGCTAGTGTATCCGCGGGAAAATGATACTAGAATGGAAGAGAGTGCAAGTCTTTCTACAACTGAGCAGTCCGGTGAAAGCGAGAATGAGTTTCCACACGTGGAACTTACGAGCCCTGCGAAACTGAAGCGTCAGGTGATCTGTCAAATACACCTTTTTCGTAATCTCTGTATGCGTTGATTATATTTGACAGGGATTTGTACTCCATTCCAGAGTTTACGTCGGGAAAGGAGAGGTCAACGAACTCTGGAGCTTATCCAACAAGATAAGGGAACTGATGAGCAGATGCAAGAAACAGCCATTGAGAAGTCAATGAGCTTTGACAACTCAGTCATTGGGAAATACAGTATATGGAGGAGAGACTATGAGAGCCCAAACGCTGATGCTATCTTGAAGCTTATGAGAGACCAGATCATAATGGCAAAGGCATATGCACATATTGCCAAATCAAAAAATGCAAGCAATCTTTACGTTTTCTTGATGCAGCAGTGTGGAGAAAATCAACAGGTTATAGGAAAGGCAACCTCTGATGCTGACCTTCCTTCAAGGTACTTGTTTTACACACTCCTCTTGTCAGTATGGATTAGTGAAACAAGCAGCAATCTTTGTTGAATATTTGCCATCTCTTTTTCATCGCTAGCGCGCTTGAGCAAGCAAAAGCCATGGGCCATGCTCTCTCTCTTGCAAAAGATGAGTTATATGACTGCCATGAACTTGCAAAGAAGTTCCGGGCCATGCTTCAGTCCACTGAACGCAATGTTGATGGACTGAAGAAAAAGGGCAGCTTCTTAATTCAGCTGGCCGCCAAAACATTTCCCCAGCCACTGCATTGCCTGAGTCTGCAGCTAGCGGCAGACTATTTTCTTCGGGGTTTCAATGAAGAGGATGCAGCCAAAAAGGATGGCAGTCGAATAAAGCTTGAAGATCCTTCTCTCTATCACTATGCGATATTTTCGGATAACGTTCTGGCTACATCAGTGGTGGTCAACTCCACTGTGTTGAATGCAAAGGAACCGCAGAAGCATGTGTTCCACATAGTAACGGACAAACTGAATTTTGCTGCAATGAAGATGTGGTTTCGCGTGAGTGCTCCTGCTGATGCGACAATTCAAGTAGAGAACATCAATGATTTCAAGTGGCTGAACTCCTCCTACTGCTCGGTTCTACGGCAGCTTGAATCCGCAAGGCTGAAAGAATACTATTTCAAAGCAAATCATCCGTCGTCAATCTCTGCAGGAGCGGACAATCTCAAGTACCGAAACCCAAAGTATTTATCGATGCTGAATCACCTGAGGTTCTACCTGCCTGAGGTATATCCGAAGCTGGAGAAGATCCTGTTTCTTGACGATGACATTGTGGTGCAAAAGGACCTGGCACCCCTGTGGGAAGTGGACATGCAAGGAAAAGTGAACGGTGCGGTGGAGACGTGCAAGGAGAGCTTCCACAGATTTGACAAGTACCTCAACTTCTCAAATCCAAAGATATCAGAGAACTTCGACGCGGGGGCTTGCGGGTGGGCGTTTGGGATGAATATGTTTGACCTGAGAGAGTGGAGGAAGAGGAATATCACAGGGATATATCATTACTGGCAAGACATGAATGAGGACAGAACGCTGTGGAAGCTGGGTTCGTTGCCACCGGGGCTCATCACATTCTACAACCTGACATACGCAATGGAGCGGAGCTGGCACGTGCTGGGGCTAGGCTATGACCCAGCGCTCAACCAGACAGCTATAGAGAATGCAGCGGTTGTGCATTACAATGGGAACTACAAGCCATGGCTGGGTTTGGCATTCGCCAAGTACAAACCCTACTGGTCCAAGTACGTCGCGTACGATAACCCCTACCTCCGTCTCTGCAACATCAATGAATGAAGGAGCGAGGAGAATTGAGGAGTGAGGCACACGGATAAATATAATACCGTAGGAGACAGCGAGGAATTTTTAGTAGTATCATCATCATCATCCATCATCTCTTGTTTTTATTTTCTTGGTAATAATAACTTGCTCTGCTATTTTCTGAAGCGTAAAATCACACCATCCATCATCGACATCGAAGCGAAAGTGTCGCTGGTTTTGTTTTTTTTGGGTTCCCAAACATAAAGATTAGAATATATGATGGCCCATGTTCACTCCCATTGTTGGGCCTTGTATTCCGGCCCATTACTGCTTGAGCGGAAAACGCATCTCGCCCACCGTCCTTCCTCCTCCATCTCCAAATCTCTCAATGTCCAATCCTGTTTGGTCGGTTCGAATCGATCGATAGTTGCTTTTGCCCATCTGGTGTTGCAGCATCTTACTTGTTTCCTGACTCGAAACTGATGATGGAGACGACGGCCAGTTCCATCGAAGAATCAAAGGCGGAATCTGGGGAGATGATGAAACTTCCGACGGAGTGTCCTGCGAGTGTGAATCCGTCTCAGTCTCCAGCAAGCGGGCGACTTGTATATGTACGCAGAAGAGTGGAGGTTGACACAACATCCAGCAAAGACACTAAAAAGCCTAAGGATGGTTTGGTCAGCTCGTCCACACCAGCTCCGTCTCCATCCCCACAAGGACCGACCAGCCATCGGTTTGACTGGGAAGACCGGTACCATCATCTTCAAATGCTCCTAAACAAGCTTAATGAATCTGATCAGACGGATCATCTACAGAGTAAGCCCGAACCAAAGGTGTCTCTTTTCCTTTTCTTTTTTCTAATAGATATATTGTGCGACTCTGATCCATTCACTGTTAGTGCTTTGGTCACTTTCGTCCGCTGAGCTTAGCAAGCATGCTGTTGAATTGGAAAAGAGGTCTATTCAGTTCTCTCTCGAGGAAGGTATACTCTTTAACCCTCACTTTCGTCGTTTATAGGGAAGCTTGTTTGGTAAACGATAGGACAGATAGTTTTTCAGAATTCGTCTCCAGGCTTTTTAGGATTGTATAACCATATGAGTATTTGCGCCTGGTGCAGCGAGAGAGATGCAGCGTGTAGCGGCTTTAAATGTGCTAGGAAGGTCTGTGAATACCCTAAAATCTACATCAAATGACGGAGAAGAGTAAGTCGGAGAGCATAGTGGGCGCCTGCTTGTTTGCAATACCTTCCAAGCAACGTTCTTGGTGACAGGCTTCCCTATAAGCTTTAGTCACTCAACTTTAGACTTGTCTTGAATCATTATCATGTATAATGTTGGAATATTAAATTTAAGAAAGCAAAAGCCAAGAAAAATAGCATTAGTCACGAATGTGGAATCAATCAAATTATGGTAATTAAATATGCTCCCACGAGTTTGGGGGATTTCAATAGATTAGGATTCCTGCCAAAAGTCTTGTTGAGACAACTGTCGCACGTCACTTATCCCCCGGCCCATTGTATTTATTTATAGGTGGGGAAGATATCGGGTTTTAAGTTGATCCATATTTATCTTGGTTCATATAGACAACAATCCCGCAATCCATTTTATTATCAACAAAATTATAAAGGGCTTTTGACATTTCTTCGGTCCGTAAGAGAGGAGCATTGGAAAATATGAATTAGCGAATTATGTGACACATCTCAGCAACAAATGATGCCAAGTCCATTATTATTATGGTGTTGACTTCAGCTGTTCCCGTTTAATTATTAAAGAGCCTCATGATGTCATCCAATTAATTATCCACTTTTCTTTTCTTTTCTTTTCTTTTGTGACGAGTTTATAAATGCACTTGCTCTAATTCTATGCACTTGCTCTAATTCTATATTTTGCTTACTCTTTCGGCTATATATCGACTGCTGATCCCAACGTATGTAGTTTCATTATTACTGCGGTTAACTCTGTGCATATATATGTGTTTGAGTTTATTAATGGATTTGGAATCCGATTTTTAGTGAAGCAAAATAGATCTCACTAGGCTGTAGTGCCTTCATCAGATATGTTGTTTTGTAGATTTAGATTCCTTAGACTCATTTGCAATTTACATTTAAATAGATGAACAACCATATGTATAATTGAAGATTATAAAAGTAGATTCTGTCAGGTTGCTGATGTCATGTGGGGAAAGATTCGGACAGATCCATCATTGATCTCAACTCATCCCTTAATTATGCAACTATTAAAATATTGTACTCATCAATTAATTAATTCTTAATGCTTTGATTGATAATGCTGCGGCTTTTGTGCAGCGCACGTAAAAGAGAGAATGCCAATACAAAAAAAAAGAAGTATTATTACCCTCTAAAATCAACTTTTTAAACTTTCTCTATGCTTTCATATTCGCGGAATTTTATTTTTATTTGTGTTCAATCATCTATGACTAATGTGGTGATGATAAGATACACTCTCCTTAGACTAAACCTATTTAAATTCACTTTCGTAAATGTTTATATTATTTCCAAGATGTATAATCTCTTTTAAAAAAAGGTATTTACTCAAGTACAGTTTTTTTATCTGAGAAATTGGGATCAAAGTTATAAAGCTGGTGATACATCTCATTCAAATTCACTCTAGATTTTAGCAAACAAAAAAATTCACCCGAGATGGCATAAGCAAAAGCATTAACTGAATTCTATTCTTATGAAACATATATACCACAAGCAAAGACACCTCCTTATAATAATCTTTAGTTAATTATATCTGCCTTTTTTCCTTAATATATGTAAATTATAATGAACTAAAAACTTAGCACGGCTGGTGAATTAATACTTAGGTGTGTTATGGTAGCTGAGTTAGGTCACTTTTCTAAGGGGGATAAATAGAGAAGCGCGGACGTTCATTATGCACTCTTTCTACAACTATACTATGTGGTAAATCATGAGAAAAATCATGAAAGTTCATGGAATCGAAGTTAAAGTCATGTACGTGTATGCAAAGAAAGTGGGTTGATGTCTCCTCAAAAGCAACATTTGAAAGGCTTCTGCTAATATCTTATACTAGTTAACTACAAGCTTGCAATTATCCATCAATTCTAATATTACATATGATTAAGAAGAGATGGGCATTCAGTTAGTTCAGTTCAGTTCAGGTTTCAAGTTTTTTAGATTCCAAGACACATGTAAAACATAGTTTGGTTCGGTTTGGTTCAGAATTGATTTAGATTTAAGGTTTTTGGATTTTAACAAAAAAAAAATATAATAAAAACACAATCAGTTATTGATTTTCTTAAAGATTGTAGATTCTTTAAAGAATATTTTCTATAAATTTTGATTAATTTTGTTTTAGTTCAGTTTTACATAGCAGTTCGATATAAAACTTATATGTTTGATTTGAGTTATTTTGTAATTTGGCTTATTTTAATTAATTTTGTGAAACCTCATAATTAGGGATAATGATGTTGATGAAAAAGGTGGGGATTTGGCTTCCTGTAATCCTTAAGAGTCATCACACTATTACCTCTCATTTTTATTTTATTTTGGTTACCCATCTGCCTTTCTCTCATTGGCTTCTTTGTAAACAATTCTTCTTCACTCTTTATTTTCATTTTAGATATAGAACGGCAAAATAGCCGTATGATAGTTTTTCAAAATATATACAAGTGTGTTTCTCGATAAAATAATAATGATACACAAATTTTATTACGTATACATTAATTAAATAAGTGAGAGACGCGGAAATAATGCGAAAAGAAGCGTATGAAATTTCAAACACACGCTTTTGGTTACTATTGAACAAGCTCGCCTCAAACATCATTAATTAAGAAAAAACAAAAAACATACTCCTATGTAACAAGTTGTTTCTTCTCTATGTAGGGTTAAACATATGTAGACAGTACAAAGGGGAATGGTTTATTTTATTATTAGAGAAGGGAGTGTTTGAATCTTGAGAGGTGAAGTAAAATAAGGGAGGAGGCTCATTCCATTATAACATGACATGTACCTTTTTGAATCTTTCATGGATTAACCTTGCTAAGTGATTGGGTGTTTATTTGTTTATTAAATCATACCTTGAAACCCTAGCTTTTGTTGCTTTAAGCCAGAAAGAAAAAATGAAAAGAAAGTACATCGACTCTCGAGTGCGTTAGGCACACTTGGGAGCAGCCTACTACTGCATTGGACCACCCAAGCATCGGAGATTCAGGAGACTCGGATTGGTGATTTGAATAGTAAAAGAAAGAAGTGGGACCCTTAGAAAAGATTCTGCACGCTCTCAACCAAAGATTCCCTCCATCTTCTTCTCTGGATCCAGTTGTTGTTGTTTTGATTCTTAAAGAAAACAAAGATTATCCTTTCATACTTGCTTCATCTCTCTCTCACACATTATACATGTACATTCTTCTCTCTCTCTCTTTGTTACATTTTTGTGTTTCTTCTTTTGTTTTTTCTTAACTATACATGGTATATTAAGATTCAGATGATGTGATGATGAGGTCGGCTCACATATATAATCACAACTAAGAAGGGGTTTGACCTTGTGAGCAAATTGGGTTTTTATTTAGCTTCTGACTTATCCCATTTTGGCAGCTCTCTTATTATAATTCCTTCCTTTTGACAATCACAAGTAATATATATATATATATATATATATATGAAAGGGAGTTGTTGGCGTTTGATATTGAACAACAAAGGAGCCAATCAAAATCAAAATGCTTGCATCATCCCTTTAAGCCAATCCTCCTCGTTAACTTTTGTCTATTTGTTTCAGTTTGGTAGATTAACTTGTTTCTCTTTGTCTGCAATATATATATCCACATGCTCATGGAAGAAAGCAACAACTCAGGCGTGGTAGATTTCCCTGAAAATTTCATGGACCAGCTCTTGTGGGAAGAAGAGGAGGCATCATCATCATCGTTATCATTAGGGTTGAAAGAGAGGGTAACGTGCGCCATGGGGCACCTGCAAGAGGTGATGGGAGGAGAGAAGGAGTTGCTGATTCAGCTGTGGGTGCCGGTTGAGAGAGGGAGGACAAGAGTGCTGAGCACGGAGGAGCAGCCTTACTCCCTAAACCCCATCGCACAGAGCCAGAGCCTGGCCCTCTACAGAGATGCCTCAGCAGGCTACAGCTTTGCAGCAGAGGGTGGGTCGGACCAGCTGGTGGGTCTCCCTGGACGTGTGTTCCTGAGGAGGATGGCTGAGTGGACCCCGGACGTTCGCTTCTTCAGGAGTGAGGAGTACCCTCGCATCGGATACGCCCGCAGGTACAAGGTTCGAGCCTCCCTCGCCCTCCCACTCTTCCATGGACATTGTGGAAACTGCGTGGCCGTGATGGAGATGGTCACCACTCATCACACCTTGGATTATGGCTCCCAACTTCACACCATCTCCCATGCCCTTCAGGTAATACTATACTAGTATATTTGCCATTTCGCTGTTGATGATATACATACCGTATATTGATTTAATTGGTGGAGTTTATATTAACTAAGGAAACAAGTCAGTCTGATTGGGTCTTTTTATTCCCATCATCATCATCATCATTTATAATATATAGTTACTTGGCAATATTCTTGTCACTGCACTGTTGGAACACTGCTCAGCATTGACTCGCTCCCATGTCTTTGCATTATTATTTGTTTGGTTGACGTAAGCAACCTTTGAAGAGCTTCAATGGTTAAACATGGACCCGTTTGCTTTTATCTATATAAACACTAAATTTGCTCTGCATCACGGCAGGCCTTTGATCTCCGGAGTTCAGAAACCTCCATCGTCCCACCCTCTCTCAAGGTCAGTCCTTAATTCTACGCTTTACTTGCACACTACTCTCTCTCAAGTCTCAACTGATCAATATATATATATATGGTGCCCTTTCCGCAGCCCCACACCGACGACCTTCACAGAGAGGTGGCCTCGATTCTCCAAGGCGTCTCCAGCTCATACGGACTCCCTCTGGCTATTACGTGGGGCCACCAAGACTCGTGCCTTTCTGCTCTTGTCTCCGCCTGTTACGCCGCGGACCAGGACAGCCTCTGCTTCCTGGCCACCTGCTCAGATCACCATCTACTCCCCGGTGAAGGAATCGCTGGAACAGCTTTCGCTACCAAGAAACAGTGCTTCGCAACCGATGTGGCCATCCTCAGCAAGTGGAGCTACCCTCTCTCCCACTACGCCAGGATGTTCGACCTCCACGCTGCTCTTGCCATCCCTCTCCTGAACAGACGCAACCGCACCGTCCAATTTGTTCTCGAGTTCTTCTTCCCCAGAGACTGTCTTGACACCCACACTCAGAGGCTGACCCTCACCTCCCAACTCAGCTTAGGCTTCCAGAGCTCACCACATCTGATGGTAGACGACCAACTCGCCAGGGACACACCCACAGATCACTCTAGCGGATCAGCAGAGCAACTTGTTGCACAAGTGTCCCCCGAGGCTAAGGATCACAAGGGCAAACAAGTGTCGGTTTCTTGGGAGTACCAGAGACAAGAGTTGAAGCTTGCTTCCTTTTCTTCTCCTTCTTCTTCTTTTTCTTTGGAGAACAGAAAACGCAAAACAAAGGCTGAAAAGGATATCACTTTGGAGACTCTCAGACAACACTTTGCTGGCAGCCTCAAGGACGCCGCCAAAAACATTGGTGGTGCGTCTTCTATTATATGCTCCTTTGGATACATATACGACGATTATGATGGTATTAATTATTTGGTTGCAGTATGTCCGACGACCTTGAAGAGGATCTGCAGACATCACGGAATCTCACGGTGGCCATCGAGGAAGATCAAGAAAGTGGGACATTCTCTTCGGAAACTGCAGGTGGTGATGGACTCTGTTGAAGGAGTTCAAGGCTCCCTCCATCTTGCCTCCTTCTACTCAAGCTTCCCTCAACTTCAATCTTCTTCTTCTTCTTCTTTTCCTTTGCTTAATCCAAACCAAACGGTCCATGTGCCCCCAAAGTCACCGCCTTCTTCGTCTGGCAGCCAGAGCTCGTCAGGTTCAAGCACCTGTTGCTCCTCCGAAGAGCAACAACTTCAACTTGGTGGCTTCCACAAACCAGCTCTTAGCCATCCACAGCTTCTTACTCTAAGCTGCATGCAGGAGGAGCAGAGGCCAGTTCGTGTGACCTCATCCCTACCCCCATTGCCGTCCGCAGCAGCTCCAAGGAAAGACAAGGATGGGATGAAAGTAAAGGCTATGTTTGGAGATTCAAAGACGAGGATGAGCCTACAGCCCCATTGGCGGCTCACAGACCTCAGACGAGAGATCGCAAAGCGGTTTGGCATTGATGATGTTTTGACAAGTAACTTCAGTCTCAAGTATCTGGACGATGATCAAGAATGGGTTCTCTTGACGTGCGATGCTGATCTTGAAGAGTGCATGCAAGTCTACAAGTCCTCTCTTAAAGAGACTATCAGAATATTGGTTCATCATCCTCTCTCTTCCTTCCTTTGATGTTTATCTAAACCCTCTTGGCTAATTCCATCATCATCACAACATTTTTTTACTTTGGCTTGGTTTGTAAATCTTTTTTTTGCATATGCAACAGACTTGTTTGTTCTAAATGTATTAATTACTTCTTGTGATCCCTTTTCTTGCAATTATGATTTTGTGAGATATATTAACTGTTTTAATCTATAGAGTTGCACCGCATCTGCCAATTTCTTTTCATTTCATTTTTTCCTTAAACTTTACTCTAGTTAAGAAATTGTACCAACATGCCATACTTTGGGCCATGGGCCTGTTGCTTAACTTCGATACAGTGACTAGAGTCACACTATTGATCCTCTAGTTTTTGACTTTGTGTAAGACTTATATTTGAATAATAAGAGTAATCCAAAGGTTGAGCTAATACTTAAGAGAGTCTGTGGTGTTACTCAGTTCAATAGGGAAGAAGAAGCTTCGTCTCTCCGCTGCTGATCCTCGATGTCCAAGTGTAGCTGTGGAGGCCCAACTAAACTCAATATGACCTGAAACAGCCCACAACAAGTGCAGATTTCAATCATCCATTAGATAAAGAGATGATTTTGTCTTGGGTGTTCAAAGCCAGATCAGTAGATGGTGTGGTAGCAGACAAGTCCGGGTTAACTTACAGGTAAGAAAACGAGCCCATGCAAGAAGCCGATTATAACCAAAGCTAAGTACATTTGGAAGTAATACACCTGCATGCACCAATACATATACATTTAAATCAACTCAAGCAAGAGACCAAGATCTGCACAAGGCAACGGATTTGAGTATCCTAACCACAAATATCTCCGATCTTGCGAAGCAAAGCACGATCACTCCAACAAGCTTCGTGAGTGTAATCCCACTGTCCCCAACAACATATTTTCATTCATTAACAAACCAATTAGACTAACACCTTTGCATACCAAAAAACTAAAAAATTGCTTTGGAGAAAATCTCAAGTGTAGCAAGTGATAGCAAGCTTCATCACCTGAAAACTGAAGCTCCCATGGTTTCCAGTGCTCCCCTCGCTCTTTGTTCTCTGTTCCCACTACTCATCTGCATTTGAAGCAGATCAGGAAATAAACATATTATTTTTCAGACACGGTTGAAAGGTGACCTGCCCTTTTCTGCATCCTCTTAACCAAGAACAAATTGACAATCGTGACAAAAGTTGTTCTGCTACTACATGGCTACATACTGTAGAGCCAATATATGTAGTATAGTGTTCGGGGTAAGGTTACAAAGGGACATGGCTTATTCTTACCAGGAAAGCATGTGATATGTGCACGCAGAATTCGACTGCAATCCCGATTGACATTATCAAATTCACAACAGAAACTGCATTGAGTTGGATTCCCAGAATCACCATCATACCCTGCTCAAACACATCAAGGATGATTATCCATTTACCATAACTATTAGCGTCCAGAATCACATGAACCAAAATCCATATCAGGACAATAGTCTATCGATCTGTATCAAAAAAATCATGTACCATAAGATCCAAGAGTATCATCAATAATACAAGAACAATGATGGCTGAACTCCAGGCACTGAAATTGACAGGTTAAATCACAGAAACTATCATCAAGACCTCCCCACATCCTTATATTAAGGGTATTATAAAGAGAGAGAGAACTGACCTGGAAGTGAATAATAAGCAAACAATAAATATAGCACCTGCCACAACAATATGGGAATTTAAAGAGTTGTATTTTGGTACAAGCTAGCAAAAACTCAAAACTACTCTCTTCTGATGGATGGGAAGCAAACCGATTGCTATAGCGAGGTTTGTCAAAGCTACTGTCCAGATATTCAGATATTGCTCAAAGAAAATGTAGAAGACAGAATATGGAAAGATTTCAATCTGCATAAAAAAAAGCCTTATTATATAGGAATCTTAGCAGAACAAAAAAAGACATATAGTGGACCATCCTCCTCCAAGCAAAGCCAGCTACTAATCTATACTTCTTTAAAGCAAAATTTATCACCAGACTCAAACCTTCAAGGAATTGGATAATCTTGAACTGAACTCCCGAGCAGCTCGCAGCGCATTAACATAGTCACCCTGAGGAAATTTTCCGCAGACAAACTCAGGATATCTCACTTGTGAGTTTTCTTTAATAAGTTTCTTGCCAAAAACAACAGTGTCATACTTGTGTGTTAAGTGGAGTGTGGTATGTACGGAACTCAGATGCCTGAATAACACCAGTCTCATACCCTGAAAAAAAAGCAAGGGTCCCGGAAAGATTTTCAGACCAAAAGCAAATAAAATGAATCGAGTATTGTGCAAATAGATTTTGTTTATAAGCAGATTCTAGAGTACCTTTTAAATCCACGCTGTTCGTATAAGCCCCATGACCACCCTTTGCACAGTCAGCCGATGGCAAAGCATTTAGAAACCAGGGTAGTTTCTCCCTGAATTGAACTGTAGATGGACGATCGTGAACCAAATCTGAGTGTCGAAAGCACTGCAATGGTTTACAGAATTAAATATATTCTAAATACTGTTGAGAAAGAGGGGGAGAGAGAGAGAGAGAGAGAGAGGCTTACTGTAGTACAGTCTTTACAGATCCCATCTAAACCGCATATATCTTCCTCAGCTGTGCAGCAAGGTGGCTGTAGCTTGAGAATTTAAGTTAGAAACTGGAAAACCAATATGCATTTTATACAGCTGATGTTTGATTAAAAGGCAATTAAACAGACATCAGAAACTAGCCTATGAACCATGATAATTTCTTCTGTAACTAACAAGAGAAATACATCTGTTGAAGAGAACCAAAAAAAAAACTGCAATATGCTCTAGGAGATAAGACTGACCTGGTCATCTGGAGGACAATAACTACCATTAGTGAACTTCCGACAGCAGCCAAAAGCCTCTGGTGATAGCCATACAAGAAAATCATCGAGCCAAGAAGCAGCTGGTTTGGCAATGTAACTAGTTTCTGGAGCTTGTGACGCTCTTGATATCTGGTGGAAGGTGGGGAAAACAAAGAGTGTTAAAGTCTAAACCCTTTTGGATGGCCTTTTAAGTGTGCTAAGCCTTGGTGGCACCACGAGGTGATATTTACCGAAGATACATCAAACTTATAAGAATTCATATGACGATTTTAGTAAAGATGAATCACATCAGTTCAAGAGATCTTTTCAAACAGGAGCATCTCCGCTATACATATCATTATTATTACCTCATTTAAAAGGGAATTTGAATTGCACTGGCTGATAGAGCACAACTGATTTGTATGCCTTGATTCCACGCTGCCAAAAAAATCCATTTCAGTGCAGAAAATTCGTTAGATAAATAAATCGTACCAGAGAGTGGCATTTGTGTGTGTCTGAGTATCAGATAGAGAACCTATAATTGTATTTCTTGACTACAAAATACAAAGGCGGCCCCACTCTGAGGTACTCTGAGAGACTGTCGAAATAGTCCTGTAAAAAAACATTCCAATTGTGATTAGGAGAAATGGGCAAGAGATGAACACAAGGAGAACATCTAAAGCAGAAGTTAAAAATGGAACACACTGAACTTGAAGGTAAGAGTCTCGAGGAAGAACAATTTTCTGCTCCAAGCCAGTTTCCAGCCTTGGGCTTAGGGCCTGAATGAATAAAAAAAACAGGAAATGCAAGCAGATTGATAACATACCACCTCGTAACTTCAGAAAAATGAAACTAATTTACGCCCCATCTCTCTGAAAATTTTCCGGTACTATAGTTATATTGTAGCAATATATCAAAGGAAGAGTTCAAATGAAAACAATATGGGGTATATATTGAAAACAAAACAACGGGCACAATGTAGTCAGTAACTTACAATGCTTGCCAGCGCAAAAGCCAAGAATAAAGCGACAACAACCAATTTTACAACCCAAAGTCCAAGAAAGGGTGCATGAACCTCCTGTGGAACACGAAGACTAAAGAATCAGCGAGACCGCGGACAGTACTTACATGTTTGTGCGTGTCTGTGACTGTTTTGCACGTAACATATAAGAAAAAAGTTTGCCCCAGTTCTGAAAATCAAAGTACCTTCATGTATCTCTCAAGAAACCCAGATCCTCTTCCACCTGTAGACGCACAAAATCCTGGCTAAGTTGAAGGAAATTATACAGTTAAAAAGACATTCTAAAATTTTCCAGAAGTAACCTTCAACAGATTCTTGAGACGATGAAAAAACTTTTATGCAAGGGAAACAATCAATCCTGTTATCCGCAGCTCTTTTGCAGTCAAAAACTATTAGCGCAACAAAAGCTGTGATTTGCAGAAAGAAGTCCAGCATAATAGCCAAAGCTGCACATGTGAAGAACAGTATCAGAGACAGAGACTCGCAACTATTGTACACAGGGAGCACCAAATGAGTTACAAACCTGCAAACATGGAAAAGACACGACATGCTGGCATTGGAACAAAAGCTCCAACAGCAAAAGCCAAGACCTCGGATAAACTTGCCAACGTTATGGATGGACCTACTTCAACAAGTGCGGAGCTGATCCGTTCCTCTAAAGAAACATCAAGAGGTTGTCTCTTCACAGCACGAACCAATATGCACATATTATCTACTCCCACCTGTTAACTTATGGAAAACCCATCAGTACATCCTCCATCAACAGATATACAAAATTTGACACTTTTACTTCTACTACAGACGCTGAAAACGAACTTACAGCCAGAACTAGGAAAGGAATGACTTCCATTATGATCAACGTGGATTTAACTCCAAGGGCACTGAAAAATCCAACAGATCCAAGTACAGAAAGCAAGACAAGCACAACCCCCGAAAGACCGAGCAGAACCTAGAAGTCACGATATTGGTAAGTAAGCTGTAAATGAGTGCACATCCACAATATCTTCGAATCCACAATGTTAATATATAGCTTCAAAGACCATATATGCTCATGGTGGAGTGGATTAGGGGGAAAAAATGGGAGCATCAATAGTTTTGTAAGATCACCCTGGCCAATGTTAAGATAATTTCAGTTGGGAATAGCGAGCATAAATAATTCCGAACAAATCATAAGATTCCCATTATTCAATACTTTATTTCTCCAGACTCTTAAAGAATATTCAAGTGATTGAATACAACCTGCTAAAATGCCTATAAAGGCCCAGAGAACTTGAGAGGAAGATCAAGACGTACGTACCTTTGATGAAATGTAGAAAGTATAAAACTGTGGAGCATCTCCAAGTGTGACGGAAATATAAACAAACATAACCAGATAGCTTGCCTGGTGAAGCAAAACAAAAACAGATCACTAACATAAAAGTCTTGGCAGGAATATGGTAAGACTAAGAGAGAGCTCTCAAAGATATCTGTTATCGTACAGCTATTGTTATAACATCAGCAGTGCTCTCTCTTTTCAGCTCTTCCTCAATTGAACTTTCGGATGAAAAGGAAAGAGTCAAATTCTTGGACCGCGCCATAGGTAGCAGCTCCTCCTGGCAAGTGTAAGTAAAAACGATTAGGACAACCGCATGACTTTTCAAAAACTGGAGATAATAAGTGTTAAGCTCTGGAGAAAAGAAAAGGACAATTTTTTGAACAGGGAAAACCTTTGCTAACTGAATGAACGATTTTTCCCATGCAATTGCCCTTGCGTTCTGGTTGCTTGAATCACCCACGACGTTGTTAACTGGATATGTTACAACAAACGCAGTAGCCTGGAGAACACAGTTTCGTCTATATTCAGAATAACAACCAAAAGCTTCTGAGCAAGCGAGTTCCGCAACCATTACCTCCGAAAAGTTACTCCCCGAGAATCCTCCCAACACTGCACTAGGATCAACAGGCGCCTGAAAAGCGCTCAGACACATCTCTGATGACGTGTAATGCTGGTGGTTGAAGAGAGAGGGTATCAGAAAATAGTATTCAATCACTAATCAAGAGGGCAGACATTAAACAGTCTAATTGCGAGTGGATGACCAAAATCCCCCGTTTCTGACGAAAATAGGCTATGTGCAATATACTAAACAGAAATTGAACCTGGAAACAATACTCAGCATGCTCAACTCCCCCATAGTCATCAAAAGTTTCAGAATCCATCTTGAAATACTGAAAATGAAATTCAAAAAGAAATGTCAGTAGAAATGCGATTCCGTGTGCAAGACGAATTTTTATGTCTAAGAAGTTTAGATAAACACATGGAGATTCTAAACAATGACAAGTTACAAAAAAATATTAAAACCGTTGAGAACTCCACGAGCTTGGGAATTCTATACCTGCAGAATACTCTGAGTGGCGCAATCCTCTCCCAATGGCTTCAAACAAATGTCAGTCAGAGAGACCTCTGAGCCTGAATTATTTCCACGAATTTGATCAACCTGTGATATTTGGAGGAAAAAAATCAGAACAAACAGAAGAAGCAAACGGGTTACACTGATATGAAGATGAAGAACTCACCTAGACCAACATTAAATGATTGAAGCAATTTTTCAATTACCTTCTCTTGTATGTCAAAAAGCAAAAGAATATTTTCCTCTGTCACAATACTAGGCGCCTTGCCATTTTTGGGATCAGGAACAGTGGCCAATATAAGCTGTCATGCCACAGAAAGATATCGTGAACAAAGGTTATATATTTGTGAAAAACAAATTGGAATACAGACCGACGAAGAAAAATATAGAACTACCTGCTCGATTCTGTAGAATGGTGAAAGGTGGCTATCAAAGAACTTTTTCTCTTCTGCTGCTTTGCTTTCAGGACCTACCCACAGCTACAAAACACAGAAATTCACATGAGCAGTCATACCAATTTTTGCAGTGGCTTTACTGCTAAATCCTTGTCATAAAGAGTTCGTATAACTATGGTACTGGCAGAGCCAGTACATACCTTTTCTGGCCTTGTTTCCACCTTAAAATTAAAGAGACCTGAACTGAGCGCAAGAACAATAGCCACCGACGTGAAAAGTACAAGAGATGGATTTCTAGCAATCAATGACCCGTATGTTCTGAGGCAAACAATTGGAAACATATACATTTTCATCTCATGAGTTTCTGGTTTTTCTTGTAGTAGAGATACCTTGTGGGTAAAATGTAGACGACAGAAACAAAATTTTGGAGATTCACCGGTAAAATTTTGCCATGTATCTCTGAACAGGAGAGAGGTGAGCACGTCTTTTCACCTAAGAAACAGAAGTCAAGTGATCAACTAGTTTTTTCCTCTAACCAGAGTATGATCAATCAGCGTGAATCTTCAAAGTTCGGCATATATATGTGTGTATATAAATGTATTATATGCTATGTATACATACACAGAAGCAGTACGATTTCTTAGCCAACACATTGATATACCTTGACACCAAGTGTGCTTTCCTTCAATTCATTACTAATTACATCTCCTTCCACCGGATGCAATAGTGGCTCTGAGCTACCACCAGGCTGTGTTATATCTCCTCTTCGGTTTAAAGCAGCCCATCCGAAGAAGCAAGACACCAGCAAGATGTATACAAGTACCATTGATAACTCAATGCACCTAACCTGAATATATAAACTAAAACATTCAAATCCAAGATCTTACTAACTCATAAATGTTCTCAAGCAACCCAGACCTTAAGAGGGCCGATCCTAATCGAGCAAGAGTCTTCCTCATGGGGCGGCAGGGGCTCGGGACTTGAGCAAGCGGGTGACGAAGGGCAATCACCACAAGAGCATCCAAGTGATGTGTCACCACATGAATAAACAGATAAGTTCATTGGCGCCATTGCAGATGAGTCAGGGGCACTTGACTTGAAATTTATTGCATATGGTGAACCAGGGAAGCCAGGTGGTGCTTTCTGACCAATAAATGCAAACCACTCTGAAAAAGCAGAAGTAAAGATGAAATGTGGAACTTTTGAAACAAGGATAGAACGTGTTTAGAAGGACTTGAAACAGACTGCAGAGCACCTCTGAAGTTTTGAGCACCACCACCAACAAAGTTAATGGCACGTGTGTTCATAGTTCCAAATTTCACCTCTTTACAGGACTGGTAAAGCCCTTCTCCAAACGTGTCAGTTATGTGATAGTCTATACCATCCACTGTCAAATTTCCACTCACCTAGAATAAATCCGAAAAGTATGATCAATGCTAGTGTTGTTGTTAACCATATTAAGTGGTTCAAAAGTTGAACTAATCACGTGAAGGGAAGCTAACCTCAGCAACAGAAGTGACATTGATGAAAAGAGACTGATTGGGAGAGCACGAGAGCTCGCAGAAGAGATTTAAGAAATTCCTTAAGCATGCAGGACAACCCACAAGAAAAGGGACAGCCTACAATAGATGGCATCAACGAAGAACTAGTAAATGGCCTGCTCGACTAGAAGGGTAAGAGGAGATGATTATAACAAGAAACAGCAGAATGAGAAAACGAGAGAAGAACAACTTGTTTCGTTGCGGGAAACATAAAGCTAGTTATGAAAAGAGAAAGAAAAGGTGTCACCTGTTGAACTTGAGACCTCAAAGTGTCAAATTGAGTCTCTGTACAACAGACTTTCCCGCTTATAGTTGGACACAGACTTTGTATTTTGGCAGAAAACAGTTCATCAGGCTGCAGAAACGAAGATCACATTCACTCAGACATGCAGAAGCAAAAAAAGAAAGAAAAAGGAAGCTTTATGGTTTGAGTCCTTTGCGAAGAGGCAGGTTCCTAAATCCGAAAACGTTTCCATACCTTAATGGATGGCGAACCATAAGGACAGTTAAGGACTTTTCCGTCGCTACGTTCTCCACAAATGTCATACATTGCGCAGTAATCATTTGAATGTCTATCACTGACAAATTTAGGGGGCAAAAGATAAATGAAGGCACAAGCGGTTGGCACAAGTTCATAAGAGTTTGAGCAATGATGCATTTACCTTGGTGCAGATTGAGTGTTTTTGGGTATATTTTGCGAGCTTATCAGCTCAGAGCTGACTAAAACTGAGAAATTGAACACCTGCAACATCGAGATCATCCCATCACCAACCGTAAATACAAAAAACTTAATGCAATTTCTGCAGAATCCACAAGGAAAACGGAAAATATACAAAGATACTACTAGGCAAGGACGAGACAGAAAATGAAGTGGGTTTTCTTTGCCTGTAAAAGGAGAAGAGCTGCAAGTAGCTTGAGAGGGATCGCCATGTTTGTCTCTGGAAGATTGAGCAATCCGAAGCAGTTCGGGACAGTTGAGATATTTTTGACTAATATAGAAATCAGAAACGGAGGAGAGTAAAGGCTACCTCGACGACGATGATGATGACGAGTCGTATTAGTACACTGTTTGCCGTTTTAGTATTCAATGCTAGCAATGCATGCCGTTTTACGTTTCGGGGATGCTTTTTCCCCGTTCTGACCCATCGTCATCGAAGATGAAAAAGTTTATCTCCTTGGTCTTTGTTTCTCTCATCCTCTGATGGTTGCAGACTTTTTGATTTCCTCTAATCGGCCGAGATTGCCTTAGGTAGCCGCCTCTCTGAGCATTGTTCAAACTTTGTTGGTATGGTGTGATTGCGTATACCCAAATTCTGCTTAAGGTGATGGATTATTACCATCTCCTTACTTACTCGGCACCCGCGTGGGCAAGCTTTATGGCCGGTGCTTTTTTGGTTCTCACGCTCTCCCTTTCCATGTACCTCGTCTTCGATCACCTTTCTACTTACAAGAACCCTGAGGTTTGTCTCCTTGTTTCGTCTTTAACCAATCTTTCCAATGGGCTAACTCCGTCTCTCTCAGGAGCAAATGTTTTTGATCGGAGTCATCCTCATGGTCCCTTGCTATTCAATCGAATCGGTGAGTATCAAAATCAGGATTCTGTTTCTTAATGGATCTTACTTGTCAATGAATGCGTGTGTTTTTCTTTGAACAGTTTGCATCGCTTGTCAAACCATCCATCAGCGTTGATTGTGGCATTCTACGAGACTGCTATGAGTCTTTTGCCATGTACTGTTTTGGTAGATACCTTGTTGCGTGCTTAGGTATGGCCATTTTCAGTGATTGCTCTCTGTCATTTTCTTATTTGTTTTTTCTTCGCTTCTCCTGCCCCAAGGATCTAGCAAGGTCATGTTGCTACCCATTCTCTACTATTGGCTAGCCTCCGTATCTTGTAGCTACTTTAGAAATTGCAGGTGTTGTCATGTCTTTGATGCTCGTTATATGATTCTTTTGGAAGTGACTTGTTTTCTTTTTCTCGTATGCTTTTGTTCTAAAGTGTTTATCTTGTCATGCTACTCCTATCTTCTTTTATCAGGTGGGGAAGAAAGGACCATTGAGTTTATGGAAAGACAGGGGCGTAAGAGCTTTAAGACGCCACTGTTAGATCACAATGATGAAAAGGGAACAATTAAACATCCTTTCCCTATGAATTGTTTCTTAAAACCGTGGAGGCTCAGTCACTGGTTTTATCAAGTCGTTAAGTTCGGCATTGTTCAATATGTATGTAATGTTTTGTGCCTCACCTTGTTTCTCTTGCTCCAAAAGGCTTTGTCTTTGAGGTGGAAGTAACCTATCTCCTTTGGCAGATGATAATAAAGTCTCTGACTGCTCTCACAGCTCTGATTCTTGAAGCGTTCGGTGTGTACTGTGAAGGAGAGTTTAAATGGGGATGTGGGTACGTTGAGGCAATCTTGACCAGCACAGTACTATGGAGAAACATAAAGAATCAGTTGATGAACTATGATATGGCATCTTACTTGTTTGTCTCTGTTTTTATGTAGGTACCCTTATTTGGCAGTTGTCCTAAATTTTAGTCAATCATGGGCATTATATTGCCTGGTTCAGTTCTATGGTGCAACAAAAGATGAGCTTGCGCACATAAAGCCGCTTGCCAAATTTCTAACATTCAAGTCTATTGTGTTTCTGACTTGGTGGCAAGGTGTTGCCATTGCTCTGCTCTCTACCCTCGGTTTGTTCAAAAGTTCCATTGCACAGAGCTTGCAGTTGAAAACGAGTGTGCAAGATTTCATCATTTGCATAGAGGTACATTCCTGCAAAATAAGTAAACATCATGGGTGACCTTTGTGTACGAGTGCCAAAAAATGTCTTCGTCATTTCCTATTTAGAACTGTCTATGCAGTCTTCACTGAGTTTTTTAACACTTGTGTTGGTCCAGTGCAGATGGGTATTGCTTCCGTTGTTCACCTGTATGTATTCCCAGCAAAGCCTTACGGTCTAATGGGAGACCGCTTTACCGGATCTGTTTCAGTTCTCGGGGACTATGCATCTGTCGACTGTCCTATTGATCCGGATGAGATTAGGGACAGTGAGAGACCAACAAAGGTCCGACTTCCACATCCTGGCGTTGATGTGAGGAGTGGAATGACCATCAAAGAAAGCATGAGAGATGTTTTCGTTGGTGGTGGTGAATACGTGAGTCTTCCTTGTAATACTTAAGATCCAAATAAAATGATTGATTATGTGGTGATGACAAAAAAAGGATGTATGTTGTAGATTGTTAAAGACGTGAGGTTCACGGTGACTCAAGCAGTGGAGCCTATGGAGAAGAGCATCACAAAGTTCAATGAGAAGCTGCACAAGATCTCGCAGAACATAAAGAAACACGACAAGGAGAAGAGAAGAGTCAAGGATGACAGTTGCGTGTCATCATCTAGTCGGCGAGTGATTCGTGGGATCGATGATCCGCTTTTGAATGGGAGCTTTAGTGACAGCGGAGTTACAAGGACGAAGAAGCACCGGCGAAAATCAGGGTACACGAGTGCGGAAAGCGGGGGAGAGAGCAGTAGTGATCAAGCTTATAGTGGATTTGAAGTAAGGGGTCGTAGATGGATCACAAAAGACTAAGAGAGAGACCAGTGTCGTTGTTTGTTCCACATTTGATCACCACCTAGAAGTATTGAATATATATATATATATATATGTTGTGTACAGATTTGAAAAGATACATAACATAAATGAGCATCATTTCTTATTACAGAAGAATAAAACCTTCATGTTCGCTAACAAAAGCTTATTCCAAAAAAAGATAGAAGCAAATGCAAGAATGTCATTGGCACTGGCAGATAGCCAGAGTTGAATAGTAGTGTTTATTATTGTAAATCAGAGGAGGGGGCGGAGCTCCCCAGTGAGCAAAGCAAACTTGCGGTGCTGTGACAAGACGGAAGCAACTCTGCTCTTGTGAAATCGCTCTGCTAAACCATCACATCCTCCCTGCTGCTTTGCCGAATGGAAAACGTTCTGCAACATCTGCAGAGGATCTCCATGACTCACCACCAGAATTGCGCACCTGCGGAAAATGTAGAATGAACAGTGAACACACACACGCTTTTCCTTTGAAGAAATGTGTTGAAACTTGAAAGCATGGTGCGTTGTGTTACCTTTGATATTCTGCCTCCATGGACTCCATGGCAGTGGCAAGCCTGGAGACAACGTCATCAGCACTTTCTCCTCCTTGTGGTCTCATAAATGGATCATTCTCATCAAGAGCCCATATCTCAGGGTACTGTGGCAACCAGAGAGGCAATCAGTATCTAAGCAAGGGGAACCAAATGACTATAAAGACGCACCTTGTCATGTGACTTGAGTTCAAATGTAGGTCCAAAATAGCGTTCTCGCAGAGATTCCATCATCTGGTCAGCAAATGCAGTGTTGTCGAAATGAAATGAAGATGGAAAAAATTGGATTTTCGAGAAAGTGCAAGTGCGTGTGTGTACCTTGCAGCGAGCAGTATCATCAAAAGGGAGATTGAGGACCTGAGCGACAACCCTAGCGGTGTGAGTGGTTCTGGAGAAGGGGGAGTAGCAAATGCGGACCTTGTCCAGTGAAATGTTGCTTTCCTCGAGTTGCTGCACAAAGACGATTTCATGTTTCTGAGGAAACAATACGTAGATGCAAAACATTGGGGCTTGAGGGTCAATAAAAGATGCAAACCTTGAGGAACGATTGGCCAGCGAGCTGAGCCTGAGCGACACCATCAGGCGCTAATTGGTACTCGGGGAGCACACCATGTTCCTGCAATTCCATCAATATTCATATATAAGCGACGGTTGATTTTGAAATTTGAAGGAAGAAGACGACAACCATTGAGGAGACGATGAGGCCTCTCTCGTTGGGAATGCTTTTGCCGTGTCGGAGGACCCAATATCTGTTGCCCACAAACGACGCCGGCAGATCCATCGACAATGACATGCTTCGGCGACGATCTCTAATCAAATGACCACCCTAATCTTTTTCCCTTACCTCTACAATAAGTATGTCAAACTTATCCTCTACCTATAATTATATATGAGTTGGGTTTGTATTTATATTTAAGAGTTTAAATCAAATAATAAAGATTTTTTTCTTTTTCTAATCAATAATAATTAATACAAAAAAAGGTATTTTTCTCCTTAAACCTGTTTTGTTGTATTCTATATTTTCTTCATTGGTGATATAAAATATATAAACGGTAACAGTGTCAGCAAAAAGAATGCGAAATTATGGTTGGCTGTTTTGGATTTTGGGTATTTTTACCGAAATTTCATAAATAATTTTTTAACTTCTGACACAATGATTTTACAAGCAACGGAATCGAAGAATGTCTAATGAGTAAATTAAAAATGTGTATGTAACAAGTTGAAGGAAGGATGGGCACGTCTCGGCGGGCTTCTAAGTTCTAAGCAAGACGCTGGCATATAGAAAGAGTAAACAGAGTTAGTCAAAGAAATGCTTTGGAGGCAAAATAAAAAAACATTACCTTGTGACTTGTTGTATGCATGAACCACCATGGACCCTTCTTCCACATTAACCTTTCCATTCATCAAAACACACACACTTGAGAGCTTTATACTTTAAATTCAACACTGTGTAGGATAGAAAACGGCTCTCTCTCTCTCTCTTTACCTGCAGAATCCAGCCATCATCCGCAACCCCATGAACATACTCAGTCCCACCCAGACTCCACTTAGCCCCAACCCTGCTGGTGCATACAGCATGAACGCTGATGCTACCCCTCCCACCACCATCATCGACCAAGCTGCGTATGGGAAGTCCGACATGCCATAGTGCAGTCCATCAAATATGAACGCCAGCGCTGTGATTGGTTGCGTTGCCGCTACAAACTGAATACACGTTTACAATGAGTACACATGGTCAAGGCACTTTCTCAACCCCACTTATTAGTTATTACACCACTCACCAATGCACCCTTTCTCACAATCCCCAGAACTTCAGGGTCCTTGGAAAACAACCCAGCTATTGAACTGAATGACATCCCCAACACGATAGCCAGCGCAATCCCTGTCACCACTCCTACCTGTACACATTTCGCCCAACTTCCTCAAGGTTGCATAATTTAATGGATACAAGTGAATACGAGGGAAGTGAGCTCAGACCTTCAGAACAAACGTAGTCACCTCTTTCACCTCCTCAAAATCTCTTTTGGATGCAGAACTCGCGATTAAGGCCTGATCAACAGAACACGAAGCTTACTCAACTATCTCAGTGATTTTTAGCAAACGTTAATACAAAAATAAACAAGGGAAGTCATCGCTCAAGCTGAGACCTGTCCAGATGAAGCTAGTGCATCCGTGAGCATAGATACCGCCAACCACACTTGCATGCATATCTGGTGTGCTGCCATTGCAAATGCTCCTTGACGAGCCGCCATTGATGTGGCAACAGTCATGGTCATGAGCACTGACAGAGTTCTTCCAAGAACAAATCCCCCTATAAATCACGTGGAATGTTTAAAAACCTAGATACTTACATATATGAGACTGGAATGTTTAAACGCCTAAGAAACTTCCTAAACTATATTAGACTCAATATGTTTCGGGGTGTTAAGAGCAGCCAGATTACAGGCATAAATCCAATAAGTGTATGGGAGAGACTGTTGCCTGCATACCAGATTTTAGGTAATCGCCAAACTTTAGTGAGCCCATCTTTGGAGGAAGCAGTATAACTCTTTTGTTCAGAAGCATAATCATTAAGATGGTAACAGTGTACCTAAGAATCAGAGAAACGGGGGTTTAGCACCATCCAGCAAGCAAGGCTGAGAAAAAGGAGAAAAGCAAGAAGAAGGAAAAAGTAGAGATACATACTGGGATATGACGCTAGAGATAGCTGCTCCGGCTACACCCATCCTGAACTGGTAAATAAACAAAGGGAACAGAAATACAGCCAGGAAATTACCAATACCTGCGTTATGGAAAGAAAATGAGAAAAAAGTTGAATGTTGTTGGACTATCAACTATGTCAAAGGATCTCAAAGAATGGTAACCTAAACAATAGACTGGAGTTTTTGTATCCTTGAATCCACGGAAAATGCCTTGAAGAGCTAAAGAAACGACATAAGCAGGAGCGCCAAGCGCTCTAAGGACAAGAAACTGCCGCGCAGGGATGAACATTTCTGACATCTGGGGCCAAACATGGATTTATCAGCACATGACATATACCTCAAGGGGTGGGAATGCATAAGCTCTATTTGGAGAGAACTTACAGGGTGTACACCCATCAACCTTAAAAAAGGTCCGGATGCCAAAGACAAAGCCAGTGACTCGAAGATGCCAATTCCAATGGCTAAGACTAGCGCTGTTGAGACTGAAGACAACTGTTTCCTTTCTGCTACACCTTGGGAAACATGCCCTGTAGAAGAAAGAGACTGAGGCTGGGGAAATCTGAGAAACTGAAGTGATGTTAAAGTTGATGTTAACCTGAGGCTAAGTCTTGAGCGGCAACCTTGGCAATATCTTCAGCGACAAAAGAAGTGGCAACGCTGAGGAGTGGAATGTTGAAGAGCTTCGATATGGTATTGAAGATGGACATGGAAACGGCAGCGGAACCCAGCTCTACAGATCCTGCATAGCCGGGAGAAGAAGGAAACCTTGAAAATCGTGCATGGCAAAAACGGACAAGCAAAGCGAGAAAATACCGAGCCTTCCAATGTAGGCAGTCTCCATGAGCTGCGTCAACGGGTCGATAGCCTGGCCAGCAATGGCCGGAAGAGAGAGCATGACGAGTTCTCGTTTGACATCCACAGGACCGGTCACGTCGCTAGCAAGGAGAGGGAGAGAGAGAGAGAGATCAAAGCATTATTTACATAAGGCAAAAACAGTGAAGGCAACATGACAAAGAGTGGCAAACACCTCAGCAGCCTTACGGGAGTTTGTCATCTTCTTCCCCGAGACAGCCAGGGTTGATGTGGCTCTTCCCAAGGGTCACAAATGGAGACACCGATTTGATTGGCGGTTTGCTGTGAAGGGCGCATTTTCGGGGCCCGGAGGCTTCGTTTATCCCAGACGTAGGCAGATAATTTGCTTGTTTTTGCGATTTCGCAAACCCACTTGTCAAGGGCAGCGACACTCGATTCCCGCTCACTAATCTTAATCTAGCAGTGGACTCCATCATCTCGCAACCTTAAAACGTAATCGCAAACCTAAATTCCGGTAAAATACGGAAGCGTAAATAAACAAAGCGAGAGAGACTCACAGGAAATCGGCAAGGCTGAGATCGTCGAGGAAACGCAAGAGATGGCAGAGACATGGAGGGTTCAAATCAGGGGTTAACCGTTCCTTGCCGGAGCAAAGGCGGTTTCTATTTTGCTAGATGGGCTTCATTTAAACCCCTCCAACAAGCCCATATAGGGCCCAGTAAAGAGGTTGCTTGCCTTTAACCAAAACACAGATCATTTTGTCCTTTTGAGGTTCTCTTTAAATTCAAAATAGTATGTTCCAAGTACAAAAGAATTTTATTCCTTTTGAGGAATGTTCTCTCTTTAGTATGTTACAAGTACACAGGAATTGTATTCCTTTTGAGGAATGTTCTCTCTTTAAATTCAAATAGTATGTTACAAAGTACAAAAGACTTTATATTCCTTTTGTGTTGGGAGGAAGTTGGTGATCGATGAGTTGGCCGTGAACACTTTCGCTTTCACAAGTTAAAAAAGCTTTGTAAGTTATATGTGTCCTTTTGCTTTCTTATCATAGGGCTTTTGTATTCAGGGATATTCAGCTTATGTTTCCATGTCACTAGTTCTTTTGTTTTGTGTAAATCTTCCTCAAATTTCAACTAAATAGATCCCCCCAAAAATACAGACTTTTTCTTTTCAGATTTGATCATCATTTATTATGAGATGTTCTGGTACATGATACAACTTTCTAATATTAGCTTTTGTTTGTTTGACTTGCAAATTTTGTTGCCTATTCAACTTACAAAAATCAGTTTCAAAACAAAACAAAAAAACAAATCTTAATAGGATAAGTTTGTTTTCGAAATTGAAACAAAAAAAATAACGACCATTTCAACTGAATTAGATAGAAGATAAGAATCTAATAAAAAACAATTAATTTACAGATGGGAGAAAAAGGGAGATTGGGTGGTGGAATTGGTAATGAAAAAGGCATAAGAAAGAAAGAAAAACTCGAAATATGTATATTTGCTCGTTTGTTTGAGGTTAGTTTGGAGTTTGTGTAATAGTTTCTGGGCAACCAACTTCATCGAGAAATGGCGTCTTGCTCATCTTCCTCGTTTTGCACACTCTCCTTCCCATTTCTCTTGTTTTCTTCTTATTCTTTGTAGCCTCTCCACCCTATCCCACCCTAGGCTCTCCTTCTTCTTCTTCTGTGTCTCTCTGTGTTACACATTCAATGGCGTCGAAGAAAAGGGATCATGGCGCTCAACCCGACAAGAAAAAGATGCTGATCATCGCCGGAATCCGCCACCAGTTACTGCTTCTCCTTCGCCGCCGTCACCGTCTGTTCCCGCTGGTCTCTGCCGTCTCCGGCTGTCTCCTCCTCCTCTTCCTCTTCTCGTGTTCTTTCCTTTCTCCTCCTCCCGTGATCCATCCCTCACCACTACGCGTACGTTTACATGCATTTTCCTTACATAATATCATTAATCGGAAAATCTTTCGTTAAGTCATTTCGTTTCTCTGCGTTGGTTCTTGCTCTTGTGTCTCTAGCGGAACAATCAAGTGGCCGTGGAACCCAATGCAGATCCCACGACGCAGTTTCTTGTACCCGTGCGTAAAACTCTTATTCGATACTGTGCCGGATTTGTTTTGTTATATATATAAAGAGAGAGAGCTGATGATCGTTGCGTAATCTCAGGAAAAGAGCGGAAGATCGGATCGGCAGTTATGGGGCTCGAGATTGTCCAACTTATACTATGGCTGCAGCAATGCCACTGGCGCCTTTAACGGTATCCTTGAACATTCTCTCCTCTTCTTCTTCCTTGAACATTCTCTCCTCTTCTTCTTCTTCTTCTTCTTCTAATGATCAACTGATTTCTTGCGACATGGGTAACATGGCAGTTTTGGATAAGACAACAAGTCAATCAGATCGATATCTAATGATCGCGACAAGCGGAGGGTTAAACCAACAGCGAACAGGGGTCGGTTTCTGTTGGAGTGAAGAAGAGACATAGCATTTGTATGTTTCCTTCTGATTTTGGCTTTTTTATGGTCTAATGCAGATAATAGATGCAGTAGTTGCGGCTTACATTCTAAACGCCACTCTTGTGATCCCTAAACTTGACCAGAAATCATACTGGAAGGACACCAGGTCCTCTTCTATTCCCTTCTTAGAAGCAGATTTTTTGTATTGCTCTGTTGGTTAATCTAACACATTTGTGGTCCAGCAACTTTGAAGACATATTTGATGTTGAATGGTTCATATCGCATCTCTCCAAGGATGTCAAGATCATCAAGGAGCTTCCTAAAGAGCAAGAGCCAAGGCTCGTAGGGCTACAGTCCATACGTGTCCCCAGGAAGTGCACACCCTCCTGCTACATGGAGCGTGTTCTGCCCGTTCTTAATAAGAAGCATGTCGGTTATATCAAAGACTTAACTTAATGTACATATGAGAGAGTATGGTGCATGCTCATCTCTGCTGCAATTGATGATGTTGCAGGTTGTACAACTCTCCAAATTTGATTACAGGCTGTCCAACAAGCTGGATACAGAGCTACAGAAGCTGAGGTGTAGAGTGAACTACCATGCGCTGAGATACACAGAGTCTATCAACCGGATGGGCCAAATCCTGGTTGACCGGATGAGGAACAAAGCCAAACACTTCGTTGCCCTCCATCTCCGGTTCGAACCTGATATGCTCGCCTTCTCCGGATGCTATTACGGGGGAGGTCAGAAAGAGAGACTTGAACTCGGAGCTATGAGAAGAAGGTGGAAAACGCTACATGTGAGAAAGATGGAGCATCACTTGATTACCACATACACAGTAGATATATATATATATATATATATAGCAACAGCAACTCTTCAACTCTGTTTTGCAATGTTGCAGGTGGCAAACCCTGACAAGGAACGGCAGCACGGGAGATGTCCCCTGACGCCTGAGGAAATCGGCCTGATGCTGAGGAGCTTAGGCTTCGGGAGAGATGTCCACTTGTACGTTGCATCAGGGGAGGTGTACGGAGGGGGGGATACACTGGCACCTCTGAGAGCTCTGTTTCCGAATCTCCACACAAAAGAGACATTGACCTCCAAGAAAGAGTTGGCTCCTTTTGCGCGCTTCTCATCACGCATGGCTGCTCTTGACTTCGTCGTCTGTGATGAGAGCGACGCTTTTGTCACCAACAACAACGGCAACATGGCTAGAATCTTAGCTGGAAGAAGGTATGTATAGAGAGAGAGAGAGAGAGAGAGAGAGAGGGAGCTGTGTCTCAGTCTCTAGCTTGTCTAATAATTCAAACGTCTGTGCAGGAGATACTTGGGACACAAAGTGACCATCCGTCCAAACGCCAAGAAACTGTACAGACTCTTCACAGACAGACACAACATGACATGGGATGATTTCTCATCAAAGGTCCGGAGATACCAGAAAGGGTTCATGGGGGAACCAGATGAAATGAAAGCAGGAGAGGGCGAGTTCCACGAAAACCCGACCTCCTGCATTTGTACAACCTCGGAGGCAAAGGTCAGTGAAAGAGCAGATGAGCATGAGTCGATATGGGAGTACTCAGAAATAGGCAATGTCCCCTAGAAGCGATTTGGATCAAACCAGAAGAGACTTGCTCAGACGAATCTCTTGCTCTTTTTTCTTTCTTTTAATATGAGGCTTGACTTGGCTTTACGCAAGAATCAGGCATTCTTTTCCGATAGAGAAAGAAATTCTTTGAAGAAAATGGAATGTCATTTTTAAGTCGCAATGTTACAGATAGAAAGAATGGTGGTGTACATATATAGATAGACCTGCTTTGTACATATATATATCCCTTAAATCTTTCTAAGTTCTCTTGTTTGATAATTTCTTGTAGAATTAATCAAATAATAATGAAATGCCTGATTACACACACAGAAACATATCTATATAAGGAGAGGCTACTGTGCTTCTAAACAAGAGTGTGTTGTGTTACTTGTGTAAGTAAGTCAGTTCCAGATGTGATCGTCGCATGGATCACAACCTTCCTGAGCAATGTCGGTGATCTGAACGGCGGCGTCGTAGGTCCTACCAGCTTCCCAGTTGGCCGGAAGAACCCTCTGAGACCAGACCACTTTGCCGTCGTAGCCAGCCGTGACCACGAACCGGAACTGAAGAGCTCCGGTGGGAACTTTGTCAGTGACCCAGACGGCTCCGTGGCTTCTGGTCATGTAACTCCAGCGCGAGGAACCAACCTGAGCAATGTCGATGGCGACCACCTCGGTTTGGCCACCTTGGTACAAGAGCTTAATGGCCAAGTAATTGGGCTTTTTGCTCGATTCTTCGACCCTCACATTCATCATCTTCCTGTTTCCGTAATCGCAAGGAACTCGGTGGTATTGAATGTCGACAAGGCCTTGTCTGAGAAGAGCTCTGTCGGCGCCAGCAAGAGGCTTAGCCATAGCCCTGAAGGCTCTGCTGCTGAGGACGAGATCGGTGTGGTTGCTCGTGTTAAGATCCGTGACCATCACGGTGGTTCCTTTGGTGGTGCAGAGCGTGGGGTCGTTGCATCGGACCTGGAAGCAAGCACCGCAGCCGGCGCCGTCTTTGTAGATGGAAGGCATGGCGGCGGCGATGTGACCGGCGAAGAAACCGGTGGCCATGGAGCCATAAGCACAAGCTCCGGCTGCAAGGAAAGGATGGATGAGAAAGAAAGAAGAGAGAGTAAAATTAAAAGGAGCAAGGGAGAGAGTGAATACAGGAGAGAGCAGAGGCAGAGGAGAAATAAGCAGCCTTAGAGCGGTGAAGACATCGGTCGCAGGCGTTGACGGAGGAGGAGAAGAGGAAAACGACGGCGACGATGAAGAGCAAATAGCCTTCCATTTTTCTTAATTTGCTTCTTTATTTTTTTCTTTAATAGAAAGAGATGCGATGAGAAGTGAGAAGAGAGAAGAGAGAAGGGTGAACGTATAAATATAGAAATAGAAATAGTGAAAGAAAGAGGAAGAAGAGAGAAGGAAGTGGGTGCCAGTTCAGCATCTCCGCACACACGTCACGTCAACTACTATTAAGATTTAGATCACATAGACCATTAGCTGGCTGGCCTGCCTATTAATCTATAATATTTATGTTATTTATTATTCCAAATTTTATAAGAAACCAACGGACCAGTGTGAGTATGGGTGGATGACGTGGCATTGGACCGACTCTTTGCATCACAGCTGTGCCCCCCTCGGGCCTTGTACATGTCGGCACCCTGTTTTTGTTTTTATTTTATAGTATTTGTTTACCAATCACATCGCACAGTATGTTTCTCCAAAATCTCCTCATTCAGTCAACTCCAAATACGCTTTTCGATGTGGGCACTGGGCAGGCAGCTGATATTATTTGTGCATCTCTCTTTCGGCAACCTATGTTGTTACCTTTCTGAATAATCTAACCTTTAATTAATAATAATCCATTTCCTCTGGTACGTTGATTAACATCACCGCACAACACATAATATAGTATTTCTTTATTGCTTGGGCATGTAGTTGCAAAAGAGTTTTCTAATCTGTGCCCATTAAACAAAACAAAATTACATAAACTTTAAGATCGCATTTATTAATAAAATGGAATGGCTTTGCCACGGAGGGCAAAGATAAGAACAAATTCCAATCTCTTGTACGTATGCTATTGCTAATGTGTTTACATATTCCAAACCCATTTTCATCACTTCACTTGCCTTTGCTTCTACTTGTACCCACACGTTTTTGTATTTGTTTGCTTTAAGATTTTATAAAAAGCTTTATCTACAAATGGGAGAGGCACCTTGAAGAAGTCGACAAATTATACTGATTCTACGGTCATGACCATATTTACATTTGAATTCTCCGACTTATTACTCTACTGTGGCTAATCCTTTATAAGTTTGTTCGTTATACAATGGTTAACAAAGGGGCAATGAAATCTTCAATATTCAACAGATTTGGTGACCAAGAAACATCCATGTGCCAATAACTCTGTCACATCCCCTGGCATTGATTACGACATGTGAAGATATCTTCATACTCCTCCCTCTCTATCTTCTTTGCCTTTCATTGTCGGACGATTTGTCTCGACTCTATTGTTTATGTAAGCCCATCGCCTTATTCGGCCCACTTCTTTTTTGGTATTTCGGCCTTAGCATTCATATTTAACACTGGCGAAAAGGGCCCAAACAAAGGCCCGTTTAAAATCACGGAAAAGTCAAAAAGTCTCACACACACACGGAAGAGAAATGAGCGCAGACTTTATAATCACTCACAGGCACAGCCTCACGGGAAGAAGAAGAAGACAGTCTGTTGTTTGTGACTTTTGTATTTCCAGCTTCTTATTAGCTTCTTCTTCTGCTTGGTCACTTGCTCCCATCACGCGTTCATGCAGTTGTTATCGGATCATCATTAGCTCATTTCATCTGTCTCTTTGTATTTGAAAACGAAACTAAAATTTGTTGACCGTTGAATATTCTTAGATACGCTTAAATGAGAAACGGAAACAAAGCTTGCAATGTTTTCATCTAATACTACTCGTCACAATCTAAACTAAGAAATTTCCTGCGCCGCCAAGCCAATCCAACTCAGCAAAATACTTCATCAGCATTTTACGCGCTTAATTGACCAATCCTCACAATTTCATTTTCTCTACCAATCATCAACTCTCCTTTTTTTTAGTTATGTCATATGTGGACTATTATATTGCTATTAGTAATGATATTCTTTTCTTTTTGCAGCATACATTGTTTTCCTACGCGTTCAATCAAATGTTCTACATGGCCGTTCTCGTTCATATTACTCCAACAAGCATGATCTCAATATGTGATTACGATTCACTATCCAATAAATTGCAAAATTTGTTTCATCCAAAAATAAAACTATGCTATCGATGATGTCACTGGAGATTTTAAACCGAAGCAGCTCAAAAATACCACCGACTGAAATTGAAATGGAGCGAGAGTGAAAGAGGGAGGAGCAGCATTTCAACTTTCAAGCGTCGCCGTTTTCATTTTCTACAAGTTAAATAATCACCTCCCAAAAGTCCAATTAACGGGCTTGCTATTGTTATATAAATAGATTAATTAAAGAAAAGAAATAGGTGGGGCCTTATTTTGTTTTTATTATCAAGAAAATATAATATTACAGATTGAATAGAACACGGAATCAATTAAGCTTATTGGAAAGCTTCCAATGGGACTTTAAATACGTCACCGAGTCTTTTTGTTCGGTTACTACAAACTCCAAAACTCAACATTTGTTTCTTCCTCCTCCTCCTCATCAATCAAGATCCCTGCGAGTATGGGGTGTTGGCTGAGCGGCGGCGTTTGGGCAATCATGACGATGGCCATCATTTCTTTTGTTCATGCTGAAGATCCCTACCGTTTTTTCGACTGGAGGGTCACTTACGGCAACATTTCTCCACTTGGCATTCCTCAAAGGGTACATTTTCTTTGGCTTTTTGTGTGTTCATTATGCTTCTATTTATATCTGATTTTTTTAAACACACATACACGCAGGGAATCCTAATTAATGGACAATTTCCTGGTCCAGAGATTTACTCAGTCACCAATGACAATTTGATCATCAATGTTCACAACGATCTCGACGAGCCCTTTCTCTTGTCTTGGTATGTATCAATTTGCCCCCATTTATTCATCATTTAGTATAACTGAAAGCGTTTCTCAATCTGTATATTTCTTCTATAACTAATATGAAAACCAATGCAACAACAATAGACTCTAACCAAGGCCCGTTTCAGTTATATTAGAAGAGGGATTGGATTGTTTGGTAATTGGAATGTGGGAGCCAATTTGCATGCACATATGCCGTTTCTTCATAGATATATATATATAATCCTGTTCATTGTTGGGGTATTATGTATTAGTGAACACGTCAAGTTCTCATGATAATTATATGTATGGACGATTTAACCAAAAAAAAAAATATTAAAAAAATGAAGGAACGGAGTACAACTGAGGAAGAATTCGTACCAAGATGGAGTGTATGGGACGACTTGTCCCATCCCACCGGGAAAGAATTACACTTATGCCATCCAAGTGAAAGACCAGATCGGTAGTTTCTTCTACTTCCCTTCCCTCGCCCTTCACAAAGCCGCCGGTGGTTTTGGTGGCATCCGTATCCTCAGCCGCCCTCGTATCCCCGTCCCTTTCCCTGAACCCGCCGGAGATTTCACCTTCCTCATCGGCGATTGGTACACTCGTCATGACCACAAGGTACATTATGTTCATTTCTTTAATTTATGAGATTGTGATGTTACCATGCATGAATAATTCAATTGCGCATATAATTCAGGCTCTCAAGGCACTTTTAGATAGAGGACACCGGCTACCTTTGCCTGATGAAGTTTTGATCAACGGCCAAGGGGTCAGCTTTATCTCTTCTCTCACCGTCCACAGAGGTAAAACGTACCGATTCAGAATATCGAATGTGGGGCTACAACACTCGTTGAATTTCAAAGTAGTGGGCCATCAGATGAAGCTCGTTGAGGTGGAGGGAACCCACACGATCCAGTCCATGTATACCTCTCTCGACATTCACGTTGGTCAGTCTTGCTCTGTCCTAGTTACCATGGACCAACCTGCGAAAAACTACTCGATCGTCGTCGCTACGAGATTCGCCGCCACGAAACACCTGGTGTCAGCCACTCTCCACTACTCCAACTCCAGAGAAGGCCTCTCCTCTGCTCCTATCTCTGCTGGACAGCCTGCCGATGAACTAGACTGGTCTATCAAACAAGCCCGGTCCATCAGGACCAACCTGACTGCGTCTGGCCCAAGGCCCAACCCACAGGGCTCGTACCATTATGGTCAAATCAAGATCTCTAGGACTTTAATACTAGAAAGCTCAGCGAGCCTCGTAAAGAGGAAGCAACGCTACGCTATAAACGGTGTGTCCTTCGTGAATGCGGACACTCCACTGAAACTGGCGGATTATTTTAAGATCGGAGGTGTTTTCAAAGTGGGAAGTATCCCTGACAAACCCAAAAGGGGAGGGATGACGCTGGACACGGCAGTGATGGGAGCAGAGCACAGGGCCTTTCTTGAGATTGTCTTTCAAAATCGCGAGAAAATCGTCCAGAGCTACCACCTCGATGGATACAGTTTCTGGGTTGTCGGGTGAGAACACTAGCTATAGCTACCTTAATCATCTTACTATGAATATGTCGGAGTTTGATCTCTGTGATTTGTCCACAGGATGGATAGAGGAACATGGTCTCATGCAAGCAGACGAGAGTATAACCTTAGAGATGCTGTTTCTCGCTCCACTACTCAGGTACCTAAAATTTCCACTAATTTTCCATATATATATATCTTCATATTTGGATCTAAAAAATGTGCTGTTGTTGTTGTTGTAGGTCTATCCAGAATCTTGGACAGCAGTATATGTAGCGTTGGACAATGTGGGGATGTGGAATCTACGAAGCGAGTTCTGGGCGAGACAATACTTAGGTCAACAGTTCTACCTCCGAGTTTATTCTCCGGTTCACTCTCTCAGGGATGAATATCTTTTGCCCAATAATGCTTTGTTATGTGGTCGAGCCTCCAACAGTCATAGGCCCACCATCACTCCATAGATCCTATTGCCTCGACTCATGAATAACTTTGGAGGTGGAAAATAAAAGACGAGATATTCCCTTAACTACACATCTTATACACAATATAGCTCCAAAGTAACTCCATTCTTTGTACTACTTAATTATAAAAATGATCGAAGTAATTAACATTTGTAATTTGGAATCTTTATTCTTTCTTTCTTTTTATGTAGGCAATGAAGTTAATTATTTGTGGTTATGAAACGTTAATTTTTTATTCTGTTTTGGATTTTACAAGTAATTACGAGGTGGTCGTAATTTAAAGAGTTAAGAGCATGTCCATTAGAGTATTTAGAAGGGTTTTAAGATGGAATTTTAAGTTTAAAATGATTAAAAGAAATGATTTAAATGTTACTTTTATTAGAAGCGTCGCTTATTCAAGGTATTTCAGAAATGCTTAGAGATCCATACGTGTCAATTTCTAATTGCACCTATTTATATTAAAAAAATTAACCAAATAAAGAGAAAATTAAACGACGAGGCCGTGATGCCACATTCTCTCTTTTCCGATCAACGATTCTCTCTTCTCCGATCCACCATTCAGGTGAAATCTGAAAATCCGAACAAGGAAACAGCAGAATCATAACTCTGATCATCATTATCTCACGTCGTTCTCCTTCTTCAAGCCATCGGAAATCGATGACGCTATCGGAAATCAATGACGCCATCGATTCTGTCGTCGATCCTCTTTAGAGACTTTGCGAAGGACAGCATTCGTCTCGTTAAGCATTGTCACAAACCAGATCGCAAAGGTATAGTTACCTCACTCTTCTTATCCCAGGGATTATAAATGGATTTAGCCTTTGATTTCCCTTTTTCAGTTTGGAATTGGCGTGTTTAGATAGTTTTGCATGAGCCATCTATATGTTTGCGTCGCCTGATCTCCTGTCGCTTTTTTCCTTTTATTTTTGCGGATGAGAAGATCTCCTGTCTTTGGTGTTTGAATGCACTAACTGATCTTTAGGAATATCTTGAATCTTCATAGCAATGAAATGATTGTTTTGGATAACTTCGAGTGATACCCATAAGTCTTTAGCTGGCACTAGAGAGACACAAAGCTACGATATTTCTGAAAGTTTTTGTGGTTTGATGAATGTGCTGCTTGCTAAAATTGTTTATCCCTTTTTGAGATTTAATCATTTGCCTGAGGTAATATATCAATTCTACATCTTGCATCTTGATTCTAATGCAGTTGACATACCCATATATTGCTGTTAACTTTTGTATATTTGATCTGTGAAAAAATCTCATTAGCATCTTTTTAGCTTAGAAACTTGTTTCTTTGCAACTTGCGATTGCATAAAAACGGAATTTTAATGTTTTCTTCACCTGTGCAGTGTTGTAAACAACAGTTTTACAATCTGGAAGAATACTAATGGAACAGTTTTTCAGGTTTCCTGTCTGTCATAGAAAGCATTAGTGGGTGTGAGTGATGTCTTGTTGGTTGCAGATTCCAGGAGAACCAAGTATATCTTACATATGGCTGACCTTTTTCTTGGACATGTAAGCAATTTTTTTCTTCTGAGTTTTTTAACTTTTGATCTGAGACATTTTCTTTGAACCTCTGTTTTGCTTTACAATGTAAACACAGCCTATATTCCCTGGAGAGACCCGTGTTGATCAATTGGTGGAGATCATTAAGGTAAAAAAAACATATTGGCTCTTCTCTTCTCTTCTTTTTTCTTCTGTTCGAAATTCTCAGAGTTGTGTTCTGCTATATTTTTTGTGAATTAGATTTTGGGGACACCAGCAAGAGAAGAGATAAAGACTCCTCTCGTTGTCATATAAAAATCGCTTTTTGTTTTTTGTTCTTAGTTCATATTCTTTGGAATGAATATGTAGTTTTAGAGTTACTTTTGTTTCACTTGTTTGATTTTGGATGTGTTTCTTTTGTTTCACTTGTTTGATTCTTAGAGTTACTTTGTTTTAAATAAATATAAATTTTATAATATAATTTTTTTTTTAAAACTTCATTAAAGATTCTACCAATGGAAGAGAAAAAAAATTAAAATCAAACACAAAAGTTTTTAAAAGAAAAAAAAATAATAATATTAAAAAATGTTTAGAAACCCTATATGGATATATACCGATGGAGATGGTCTAAACTACCATGCGAGAGAAATAACTTTTAGAGGGGGAAAACAAATTATACGAATGTACAGATTAAAAGACTTTTTTATACTCAAATTAGACTTCGTAAGATAGAACGAAAAAGAACTCCACATTCCCGGCCCAATAATATTGGGGAGCCCTAGGGCAACATTTTTTGGGCCCTTCTAACATATAAATTTACACAAAAAGTTTTAATATTTGGGCCCTCTAACATAAAAATTTACACTAGATTTTAAAATTTTGGGCTCTTCTGTAATGACTTTTTCATTAATAGATACTAATTTAAATTAAAAATATAATTATTTAGGCTTATTTATTTAAAAACGGGCCCTATAATATACAGAATTTTAAAAACAAATGGGTTGGGCCCTGAGCGCACCTCTGCCCACCCCACTTGGGCCGGGGCATGGGTTCCGTTTTTTCATGTGTCAATGTTTATTACTCTAAATTGATGAAAGTTTGTTTGGATCTTGCAATTACAAATTACAAGGCTACAAATTGAATGAAGAGTATGGCGATGGAAAAGATTTACAAGAAGCACGAAGAAAAAATAGATCAAAACATCCCTTATATTTGGAATGTGAAAAGCTTATATACGAAAAAGGATGGGAAAAAAAAAGATTTAAGAGATTAAAAAAAAATAGATAGTCAACTTTGAAGTGATGCATGTGAATCAACACCAGTCCATAGCGTTGTAGTGATCAGTGACGTGAATCAACACCCCAATTTCAAAGTTAGTAACTAATAAATGAATTAGAGGGAGTATAATGAGCGGCTTAAATGCGAAGACCATCTTTGAAAACAGCGGAATCCAGTTAGCCAACTCAATCTAGGCCGTACGATCTGATTACTTTTGAATGACGCCAGAATAGTGTGTGCAGTAAAGATCAAACGAGTAGGTTTAAGCCACGTGGCGAAAGATAAGATAGTGTATGGTGTAACGTACGTAGTTCAGGCCGGTATGAGGGAGTCTCATCCGACAGGGAATGCTTCTTGTCCACACAATGTCAGGCTTTTATTTTCCAGGCCGCTTAGAGATTCTCGACTCGTATTAGAAAGGTGATCCTGGTGGTTCTTTTAAAATGATCCTACGGTGGATATAGCCGGGCGCATGGTCCTCAAATGAGAATGGGCGTGGATTAACTTATCTCCTTCCCTTCACCGCCGTTAAGTGATTCTCCACGTCTACTCCCTCCCAAACCAACCAGAATCTAACGACCGTGAGTTAACGGTTGGTCCGTTAGCAACACATTAACGGCAGAGGATAACGGCGCAGTAGACGGCGTAACTAGGAGAGCAAAGAAGAGAGAAGCTATACTCACATAGACACAGGCACACATATGTATGTAAGTATAGAGAGAGATTGTTGTTCATCTCTGCTTTGCTTTTTAGTTGTTCATCTCTGCTTTGCTTTATCAAACCATCATCACACCCACTTGCTATCTCCCAAATGTTGATCTTTTGAGCCGCTGGATCTCTTGCTGTGAAGTTTGCGAGTGCGAGAATGGGGAGTTTATCTTCTGGGGAAGACGAAGAAGGCTCTTCCGAGAGATGCGGAAGCTACAGCCCCAGCGCCGACATTAGCGAATCAGAGAGTTCGAGCAGCTTCTCGTGCCTCCGCTTCGACGGCGAGGGAGCCTCAAGCTCGATGACGTCGTCTCCCCGAGGCGGCGGGAGAGGATTTTACTTCCCGGCGCCTGTTATGCTTCCGGTGATCGGTGGGAAAGATGTGGTTTGGGATGACAAGTCAGATAAACCGGAGAGCGATTTATCCGGTAATACAAGTCGGAATCCTGCTTCTATGAGAAAAATTATTGCTTAATTTAGTAGCGTAAAAGTAAAATTTGGGATATATCGTGTTCATGTGCGTAGAAATTGAGATGATGAAGGAGAGATTTGCGAAGCTGCTTCTCGGGGAGGACATGTCAGGGGGAGGTAAAGGGGTTTGTACGGCGCTTGCAATCTCCAACGCCATCACCAATCTCTCTGGTAAAGGATTGAGATCTCTACAGTGTTCATTTTCTTTTGTTTTGTTGATTGTGCTAGCAATGATGATGAGCAAGTGGAATTGCAGCGACTGTGTTTGGGGAGCTATGGAGGCTGGAGCCTCTTGCTCCGCAGAAGAAGGCGATGTGGCGTAGAGAACTGGAATGGTTACTCTGTGTGAGCGATTCCATCGTTGAGCTCATTCCTTCAATCCAGCAGTTCCCCGGAGGCGGGACCTATGAGATCATGGAGACTCGGCCGCGTTCTGATCTGTACGCCAACCTCCCGGCTCTCAGGAAGCTCGATGCAATGTTGATTGATATGCTCGACGGTTTCTCCGATACTGAGTTCTGGTACACTGATCGCGGCATTGCTCTGGGAGAGTGTGAAAAGGATTCCTACGATTCTCCAGCTTCCGTCAGGCAGGAGGACAAGTGGTGGCTGCCTTGCCCCAAGGTTCCCCCTAAGGGCCTGTCTCAAGAGGCGAGGAAGAAACTGCAGCAGTGTCGCGACTTTGCTAACCAGATCCTCAAGGCTGCATTGGCAATTAACAGCGGTGTGCTCGCGGAAATGGAGATACCCGACCCTTACTTGGAGGCACTGCCCAAGGTTCGTTCCTCTTTTGTGTTTTGTTCCCAATAAATGACGACCTTGTCAATTCATTTTGACTTGTGATTTCTAACTTGCTTCAGAGCGGGAAGGAATGCCTTGGAGAGACCATCTACCAGTACTTGACCGCAAGCAACTTCTCACCCGAATGTCTCCTAGACTGTCTTGATCTCTCATCGGAACATCAGACCATTGAAATCGCCAACCGGATCGAGGCTGCGGTGCACGTGTGGAGACGGAAGACAGGGCGGAGGCACAAGAAGCAGGGGAAACTAAAGCTGTCTTCATGGAGTGGCAAGGTCAAGGGCCTTACCGAGCGAAATGGTAACCTTGTGCAGAGAGCTGAGACCCTCCTGCAGAGTCTGAGGATCCGTTTCCCGGGCCTTCCCCAGACAACGCTGGACATGAACAAGATTCAGTACAACAAGGTAGGAGGAGTTTAGAATGTTAAAGAGAATAATGAGTCAATGATTGTGAGGACTTGTGGTAATAATAATGGTGTGTTTGCAGGATGTGGGGCAATCCATTCTGGAGAGTTACTCGAGGGTGACGGAGAGCATGGCCTTCAACATCACGGCCAGAATAGATGACGTGCTTTATGTTGATGATGCCATGAGAAGATCCGTCTCCGCCACGGAGTCGCTCTCCCTATTCAGCATCAGTGGAGGCAAGGCGCAGAGAACCGGGTCTCCATTTGCATCGAGGAGAGCACCGCCGCTGTACACTGGAATATTGGGTGAGACGGAGAAAGCATGGTCGTATGCCGGAAATCTGAGTTCAACAAGGGTAACGGGAGTGACCCCGGAGAGAGACTAAATCAGAATGTAAATCAGTGCTTGTAGAGACGTAGTTGTATCTTGTCGAGGTTTTTTCTTTCTTGGGTCTGACTACGAGATGAGAGTATTGGTAATATTATCATGTTATTTGGATAAGGGGAAATGGAACACAAGAGAAAAGAAAAGGAAGCGGAACAACAAAATGTATTTCGACAGATTCTGGTCAAGTCCTACAGCTCAATCGTATACCGTCGTTAATCATGTACCTACTGATATGTACTTGCACGCTCATGGCGACTCTTAAAAGCGACAGATTCTGATCAAGTCGTATAGCTCAATCATATACCGTCGTTAATCATGTATGTCAATCATATACCTCTCCGGCCTCTTGAATCAAAAACACACACTACGGTAGCTACTTGCCCGCTCATGGCGACTCTTTGAAGTGACGCCGTTTTGGTGTAAATTTATTGTAGGTGAGTTTAAAAACAATAATAAAGTTTAGCACCCCCAATAAAGTTGATCCTTCCTCCAAAAGTTGACATAGGGGTTTTGTTCCAATTCGAAAAAGTTGTGGGATTCGCGAGGGTTTCAGATGGAGCAGCAGCAAAGTAGCGGGACACAGCCCAAGTTCTTGGCGACGCCTCCGAGCCTTGTCGGGAGCATCGTGGAGAGAGGTATATCGGAGCCTGCAAACAAGCCGCTTCCCCCCAGACCCACCCTTCTTTCCTTCCCCGTGGCTCGTCATCGTTCCCACCGACCCGTAAGCCATTCCACTTCCGATTTCAGCTACTCATGTTTTGTTTCCTTTTATTTCACTTGTAATTACGCTTTGATTTTTCTTTGTAGCATTCGTCTCCTGTGGGGAGCAGAGCCCAACCTCAGGATTCTAATGTCGAGGAGGATGAAGAAGACGAAGAAGAAGGTTTCATGAACGCAGACTCCATTGCTGCTTTTGCTAAACCTCTTCAAAGAAAGGAGAAAAAAGACATGGAGCTCAGGAGGTGGAAAGATATGCTCTCTCCCGCATATAACACACACCAATCAAGGAAAGCTGATAAATTGAGTGCGCCGACCACCACTCCCATGGACGTGGATAACGGCAACCCTCTTGAGTTTCCCACAACTCGGACTTCTATAAAACACCTGGGGAGCCAGGAAAGCACTTGTTTTGACGCCTCGAGTGGACTCGGAACTAGACAGGCATCTTCATCTCTTGAGAGTGAAATCGATGAGGAGAACCACGCGCGGCTGCAGACAATGTCACACGAAGAGATTGCAGAGGCGCAGGCTGAGTTATTGGACAAGATGGATCCTGCCTTACTAAGCATTCTGAAGAAACGAGGCCAGGACAAATTGAAGAAGCGAAAGCATTCAGTGCCTGCGGCGGAAACTAAGAATCTAAGAAGCCAGGGTCACTTTGTCAGGCCTAATATTCATCCACCGCAGGGCCACGCTCAAGAAACAAGCGCGGTGTTAGCCCAAGGCTTCTTGTGGGATGCATGGACTGAGAGGGTTGAGGCAGCCAGGGAGTTGAGCTTCTCCTTTGACGGCAATGTCGTTGCAAGTGATGCTGCTCAAACTGGTGAGTAGAACAATCCAGCTGAAACTGATGACAATTTCTTAAAGCTTTTCCTTACACATTTGTATATACAGGTGAAAGCATTGGATCTGCTGTTGAACGTGACTTCTTGAGGACCGAGGGGGACCCTGGGGCAGCAGGGTACACCATCAAAGAAGCTATTGCACTCGCACGAAGTGTGGTATGATTGATAAAGAATCCTTTAGTTCCTTTTTGCTTCCATCCATAGGCCTAGACATCGCTCATTGAATTTGTTTGCATTGATATGTCAGATTCCGGGGCAAAGATGCCTTGCTTTGCGTCTGCTTGCATCTGTGCTCGACAAAGCTTTGTGCAAACTTTGCCAGAGCAGAATCGGCTCCTCAAGGGATGAAAAAGATAAATCCACTGATTGGGACGCCATCTGGGCTTATGCCCTCGGACCACAACCTGAGCTTGTCTTAGCATTGAGGTACTATCCTGATGGGTGTAGTGTGAGACACATTTGTCAAATTTCACACTCATATATCATATGTTGTTCGTTCTTATTAATATAAGTTTCTTTTCTTTTTAAGGATGGCTCTTGATGACAACCATACCTCTGTTGTTCTAGCATGTGTAAAAGTGATTCAGTGTCTACTGAGCTCTTCTCTTAATGAGAACTTCTTTGATATTTTGGAGGTATAGTTGATTTTTCTCATTTCAAAGAAGTTATACTCCCACTTGAATTTAGAACTTGTATATGTTTTAAACTGATAAAATTCATTTCTGTTTCCAGAACATGGGACCACACGGAAAGGACATCTTCACGGCCGCTGTGTTCAGGAGTAAGCCAGAGATTGATCGTGGCTTCCTCCGTGGTTGCTACTGGAAGTACAGTGCCAAACCCTCCAACATCGTTCCTTTCCGTGAAGAAATCGTGGATGAGGGGGCAGAAGATGCAGAAACTATCCAAAAAGATGTTTTTGTGGCTGGACAAGATGTTGTTGCTGGTCTCGTCAGAATGGATATCCTTCCAAGAATTTATCACCTTCTAGAGGTGAGATCACTCTCTATATATGTGTACCTGTTTGTAACTCAGCAAGGAAAATCATTCTCCTTGTGTTGTTTAACCGGTGCCTTAGGTTTCTAGTATATTCATGATTTCAGACAGAGCCAACAGCAGCGCTCGAGGACAGCTTAATTTCTGTTACTATCGCGATAGCAAGACATTCTCCAAAATGCACATCTGCAATCTTGAAGTATCCGAAATTTGTGGAAATAATTGTGGAAAGATTCAAGTTGAACAAAAGAATGGAGGTTCTTCCTTCTCAGATCAATTCTGTTCGCCTCTTAAAGGTAATACTGGTTCGGTCATGCAAAATTTGCTTGGGGTCGTTATGTTCATTCGCCCGTGATGTTGTTTTGACAAAACCTGATAATACAAGTTTGCTATCAATCCTCAGAGCTATTGTAATAACCTTTGATTTATTTCGTCTCTTTTTTATTTCACTAAGGTGTTGGCCCGGTATGACAAACGTACTTGCATGGAGTTTGTGAAGAATGGGACATTCAATGCGGTCACTTGGCATTTGTTTCAGTTCACCTCCTCTCTTGACTCGTGGGTGAAGTTAGGGAAGCAGAACTGCAAGCTTTCATCTGATTTGATGGTTGAACAACTTCGGTTTTGGAAGGTCTGCATCCAAAGTGGCTGTTGCATATCTCGATTCCCAGAGCTATTCCCAGCTCTGTGTCTGTGGTTAAGTAGCCCATCATTTGAGAAGCTCAAGGAGAAAAATCTCGTCTGCGAGTTTACTTCTGTGTCAAAGGAGGCTTACCTGGTCCTTGAGGCTTTTGCCGGAACACTTCCTAGTATGTACTCACAAAACATTCCACGGAATGAATCTGAGGCTTGGGACTGGAGATATGTTAGCCCTATGATCGATACAGCACTGAGCTGGATAACATTGGCCCCCAAATTACTCGAGTGGGAGAGAGGAATCGAAAGTGTCTCCGTGTCCACTGCTTCTCTGTTGTGGCTGTATTCGGGTATCATGCGTACAATTTCCAAAGTTCTTGAGAAAGTCTCTGTCCGTGGAGAGGAAGAACCCCTGCCTTGGCTGCCGGAGTTTGTTCCAAAGATTGGCCTCACCATCATCAAGCACAAGCTTCTTAGTTTTTCCGTTGCAGACGCAAGTAGGTATGGAAAAGACTCTTCCAGGTGCTCCTCTTTTATGGAATTTTTGTGTCTTCTAAGAGAACAATCTCAAGATGAAGAACTGGCGCTAGGTTCTGTGAGTTGCCTTGATGGGTTAACACGGACTATCGTGTCCATCCAAACTCTTATAGAATCTGCGAGATCTAAGATGAAAACTCCTCCTCAGGGAAGCCTTTCCATCGGAGATGATTCTGTGCTTGCAAAAGGAATAGTGACAGAGTCTCTCGCTGACCTAACATCTGTGTGGAGCTCATTTAGAGATTCCATTGCATCAGAATGGCCCATCATGCAATCCATTGAGCTACACAAACGAGGTGGACTAGCTCCTGGGGTCGGACTTGGTTGGGGAGCTAGAGGTGGTGGGTTTTGGTCAACCAGAGTTCTGTTGGCACAAGCTGATGCCGGTCTTCTGAGTATCTTTCTTAACATCTCTCAAATGGACTCGCAGAATGATCAGGGATCGGTTTTCTTGATGGACAAAATGAACTCCGCCTTGGCAATGTGCTTGATTGCAGGTCCGAGGGATCATTTACTTGTGGAAAAAGCCTTGGACTATGTCCTTGGACCGCATGCTTTAGAACACCTGGCCTACTGTATCAAGTCAAACAAGAGAACCATAACGGTCGACTGGAAATGTAGCGATGGAGATTGTGATCGTATGAGCAACGTGCTCGCTTCTCACTACAAACTTAGGTGGTTACGCCCAAAGAGGAAATCCAAATCCGAGAATGGTGCCCGTGGGATAAGGAAAGGTGCAGTTGGTCTGGAGACAATTGATGAGGAGGGTGAAATGCCAAATATTTCAACTCAGGAACAAAAATCAGACTCCCAGATCATAGAGTGGGCTCACCAGAGAATGCCCCTGCCTCCACACTGGTTTCTCAGCTCCATCTCAGCAGTCCAGGGTGGTAAAACCTCAGAAGGGGCACCAGAATCCACAGAGTTGCTTGAAGTTGCAAAAGCCGGAGTATTCTTTATTGCAGGGCTTGAGTCATCATCTGGGTTGGGCTCGCTTCCATCTCCTGTTTTGAGTGTGCCGTTGGTTTGGAAGTTTCACGCGTTGTCCACGGTGTTGCTTGTTGGAATGGAGATGCTCGAAGACAAGACGACTAGGAGCTTGTACAGTTTTCTCCAGGAGCTCTATGGGAAGGTTCTCGATGAAAGGAGGCAAAAAGACGGTGAAAGGGAGCTCCTGAGGTTCAAGTCTGACATTTTCGAGAGTTACTCAACTTTTCTGGAGATGCTGGTGGAGCAATATGCAGCAGTGTCGTATGGGGACGAACTATATGGCCGGCAGATGTCGATCTACTTGCATCAATGTGTGGAACCCTCTGTTCGGCTTTCGGCATGGACTGTGCTCTCGAATTCCCGTGTTCTTGAGCTACTGCCGAGTCTAGACAAATGCTTGGGAGACGCACAAGGTTACCTCGAACCGGCTGAGGTAAGAAAACCGCGTGTGGAGCAAACAATAACAATATCAGTATCAATAGCATCTGAAATGGTTGATTGATTGACAGGAAAACGAGGGCATCCTTGAGGCGTACCTCAAGTCATGGACTTGTGGAGATCTGGACAGAGCTGCGACGCGAGGATCGGTAGCCTTTACACTCGTCGTGCATCATTTTTCATCCGTATTGTTCGGCAAGCATAAAGAAGCAGTATCCCTGCGGAATAAGATTGTAAAAACTCTTGTGAGAGATTTATCAAGTAAACGGCATCGGGAGGTAACTTTGTAATCCATCAGCTGTTGCGGGTAAAACTTTATTGACAACTAAAACGTGAAATAATGCAATGGTTGCAGGGGATGGTGGTGGAACTCGTGCGGTATAGTAAAAGGTGTGTAAATGCGATGGAAGAAGAATCAGCAAGGGAGACGAGCGAGAGAGAGAGAAGACTGGAGGTGTTGAAGGAGGCTTGCGAAGGAAACTCCTCACTCCTCTCGGAGCTGGAGAAGCTCAAATCGGCCGCCTTGTGTGGAAGAAGGTGAAAGCGGAGTGTTTGACTCATGAGAGAGAGAGAGAGTGTGTGTGTTTTTAAGTCAGAGGTGTGTAAGTTAGATCCAATTAGGCTAAATCTTAACAGTAATGTTGTTGGATTCTTGTCCTATCTCACAATGTATGATGATGATGATGATGGGGATTTTCCAAATTCTGGCAAGTCCAATAATAAACTTGACGGACATTTGAAAGCGAAGTCTGTCCCAGAAATCATGTGGGCGAGAGAGTCTTCTTGATACCAAAAAAAAAGAAAAAACAAGAGAATATACACAAGAGACTGTAATTGTTGATTAAGAAAGTACAGAGAGAGAGTAAATCGTAAGCGTTGGTCTCTCGGCGATGCTGATTAGCGGCGCATCAGCGACCCCGTTGAGGCCCGGGTTCTGCGGAATTGGTAGGGAGAAACACATCCACATCCACACCCACACTGCTGTGCCCATGAGGAGGAGACTAGCGATAGGGTGTTCATCCTCTTCGTCGTCCAGCTTCGATCTAAGGACGTATTGGACAACCCTAATCACGGAGATAAACCAGAAGCTCGATGAAGCCATTCCGGTCAAGTACCCTGAGGGGATCTACGAGGCCATGAGATACTCCGTCCTCGCACAAGGCGCCAAGCGTGCCCCTCCTGTTATGTGTGTGGCCGCCTGCGAGCTCCTCGGTGGCCATCGCCGCGCCGCTTTCCCCACCGCCTGTGCCCTTGAAATGGTTCGATTCCCCTCTCTCGATTTTCCTTCTCTCATCTCTCCAATCTGTTGATTTGTGATTTCCCTTACTATGAGAGTGAGTAGAACCTAGAAATAGAAACTCTTGGTTGGAAGAAGAGAAATTTGGTATCTAATGGGTTCATCTCAGGTTCACGCGGCTTCGCTGATTCACGACGACCTGCCCTGTATGGACGATGATCCTGTCCGCAGAGGAAAGCCATCGAACCACACAGTGTACGGCGCAGACATGGCCATTCTCGCCGGTGACGCTCTCTTCCCTCTCGGCTTCCAGCACATTGTCTCCCACACGCCTCCTGAGCTTGTTCCCCGAGCCACCATCCTCAGGGTCATCTCCGAGATCGCCCGCACCGTCGGCTCCACCGGTATGGCTGCAGGGCAGTACGTTGACCTTGAAGGCGGCCCCTTCCCTCTTTCCTTTGTTCAGGAGAAGAAATTCGGTGCCATGGGGGAGTGCTCTGCCGTCTGCGGAGGACTCTTGGGCGGTGCCACCGAGGAAGAGCTTGAGAGTCTCAGAAGGTACGGCAGAGCCGTTGGGATGCTCTACCAGCTGGTGGATGACGTCAGAGAAGATGATGATGGCAACAACAACAATAAGAAGAAGAAGAAGAAGAAGAATAGCTATGCGGGTTTCTTTGGAGCACAGAGGGCAATGGAAATGGCGGAAGAGCTACGTGCAAATGCCAAGAAGGAGCTGCAAGTGTTTGACAAGTACGGTGGAGGAGACGCCGTTGCTCCTCTCTACAGCTTCGTTGACTACGCTGCTCACCGAGATTTCCTTCTTCCTCTCTGAATATGGATGGGCCTCCTTTCTATATGGGCCTCTGACAATGTTATGGACATTCGTTTCGGCCTTACATGTCCTTAATTAATCATTACTATTTTACATACGTATGTAACAAGTGTGTTTTAGTATGAACTACTGGATTATTTTGTTTGAATAAGTGTTTACTTAGTGTCTGATCCCTAAACAAAGAAAATTGTATGCTTGGAGTCTTTTGAGATTAGACGACATTGCCGACACTTCCTCTAAGAAAATTGCTTATGTCACAATTAGTATAGTTTCTAAACTAAGACCAAAGCCAAGTCTTACCTTTCTTTCAACTCTTTCCACTGTTAAGCGGTGGCCATCTTATCCAATGTATACAGACATATACCTACATCACATTCTCCATTTTATATATACACTATCCCCATATTGTATACGTATACTTTCTTTCTTTCGTATTACACAATAAAACAATATCTTTCATATGCGGATTATCATTACAACTTTTCTATGTTTAAAGTACTAAACAATCCGAGTTTGCGTATGAAAACGTCTTTAATTGGTCTGGTGTGCAAATGTATCTGTTGGTTTCTATGACAAAACACTCTTATTAACAAAGATCCTTTGAAGCCAATAAAGGTTTTTGAAATGGGTGCTACGTAGTTTGAATAAACAGCTTATAGCATGAATTACATCGTCAACTGGTAGTTCTATACTATATGTTTCGAGTTTGAATGAATTTATTTTTGGTAAAAGTGAGAAAAAAAACGTGTAGGCTTACTACTATAGATTTGATTCCATCATATTTTGATGTCTATATTCAGTGAATCTGTAATACATTTTCTTCGCAATTTTTGGCTTGTGAACAATAATTGGGTCGTGCAATACGAACTTTTTAAATCTGGCTCATAACTTGTGATTTATGTGTTAAGAAGAAAAAAAACTGAATGATTTATATGTTGACACAGGAATCTTAAAAATTAATTATATCATTGTTTCTCTTAGTTTTGCCGTTTCCATTAACATGATCCTTGACCTACGGCGTGTGTGTCAATTGATCATTAGGGTTTATCGTGAAAATAATTAAACGTTTGTTTAAATATTTCGTATTATTTGGTGATAATATTTTCTAAGTGATCTGACATTTGGTTTAGTAGTGAATTTTTTTAATATATCTTGGTACTTGATCAATGAATAAATAAATATACACATGTATATCCCATATTTTGTTGCTTCAGGATATGAATATGATAATATATAATACATAAACTTGGCACGCAACCATACTATATATATATCATTATCTAGTCGATCTAGCTAACACAATACTCAGGATGTATTGATATACATTGGAATGTCTTAATTGCCATTCGCGCGCGGTTATATAATTAGGAATGTAGATTACCAAAATAATGTTGGTTTACCTGAGGATCGTATACCGAAACTTAGGAAAAAAAAGTGGGAGCATCAGACTGAGCAATGTCGTGGATAAGGTTAATTAGAACAGATAAAAAGAAGAGAAATATAATTAAAAAAAATGTTTATTAGCGAGAAAAGAAAAGAAATGAAAAAGAGAGAAATGAAGAAGTGGTTTTGAGAAAACAGATGGTGGATAGTAACTTTAGAACGGCGACAACTCGCGGCTTCGCTGGCCGTCCAGCTTAAAAGACGCGACCTTTGGTGAGCGTAAAGGGACAACAATCCACGTGGGACGAAATGCAGCCACGTGTCATCGACATTGGGACCAACCCCATAATTACAAATTAGTCATTTGCTAATACTACTGATTACCGAATCAAAGCGGTTTATTCCTTTTCCTGGCTGCCGCATCTTTACCCTCTATGGTCAACTTCTCCACTATACTATTATATATTGATCAACATGGACTAATTATTATAAGACCATATGGACATTTTATTAGTATATTCAAGAGCAGCCATGCATGCACCACGTGGTAGTCCATTATGTGTTAGGTTTGTGATAACCTTTTAATTGCTATGTATATGGCAGCCCAAACATATGTACTATTATGATTCCCGCCCCGTAAAGCACCATATGCGTGTGTATATTTGCTTAATGATCATATCCAAATCACAATCGTATAATATATGGTAATACATGCCTTGCTAATTAATAATATAAAATATACATTGCAAAACATCTGTATAATGCAAACAAGCTTAATTTATGGGGAATATATAACAAAAATATACGATGTTTGGACAATAATGTCTCCAAACATGAGGGAGTCACATGCGAGTGAGGGGCGTGTTTATATATCTGGTCCCCTCTATTTATATGTCCACTCTTTTATAGATGTGTGTGGGTGCAAGTTTTACGTGTCAAGTATACACATATGTAGCATTTTCAGTCAAAATAAAAACATTATCCTCAGATAACAAAATAAAACTGACATGCATGCATTGGACACAGCAGTTATATAACCTTTGTGACGTCCATATATACAATCACATACGAACGTAGGCTATCAAGTAAAGTAGTGATATGGGTGAACAAGGGTGTTTAATCGAATAACGAAAGTAAGGGGATTGAAAATGGAGAATTAAGAAAAAGGGGGAGAAATAGTAAAATATAGGTGGAAGGCGATCCGGATAAGTGTGGGGTCAGAGTGAGTGGAATATGCCATGCCATGCCATGGAGGAGGGGAGTGGGGTCACATTAACGCAAAAGGGAGTAATCTGTGGTGGGGACAGGTGGAGAATGTGTGGGGTTGATTTGGGGATTTGATCTCCTCCTCTTAATTATTCATCGCTAATCACGATTTAAATGGAAAGGCACTTTTTAAATAAATGGAGAAGCTTCCCCAAATTCAACTCCCCTACCCTGAATTTCCTGTTTTACCCTTCAGACGATTAGCATCGCCACGGCGGCATGAGTCATCCACCTGCACTACGGCGTCGTTTTTGAAGACAAACAACGAAGATGGAAGGAGATAAAACGGTAAGCTTAAGCTCTCTCATAAGACCCTTTCTGCCTCATCAATTCTGATCGCACCTCTCTCTTTCCGTTTTTTTGTTTCTCCCTCGATTTGAATTTCTTATAAAGCTCATCATCTTCTTCTTCCCCAAGTTTCTTCTCTGTGTGTTTCGATTAATTAAAAAAAGTGAATTCTCACGTAAAAGCAAAGAGAGATCTTAAATCAATCCTTCACTTTCCTTTCTTGTTGGAAACCACTTTATTTCCTTTGCTTTTCATTTCTCTCTCGTCGTCGTAAATGGTGATGGAGGACAACGAGAGCTGCGGTAGCAGAGTAATTAGCGACGCCTTACCTACGTCGCAGGCTGCCCTGGACCGTCGTGAGCGCATCAAACTAGAGGTTTTCGGTGAGGTTTTCCGCCGTCTCCGTCAATCCGGCATCCAAGACACGGATCTTCCTGCTTTCGAGAACGAGCTCTGGACTCACTTCAATCGCCTCCCGGCTCGGTAACTTTTTTTCAGTCTCATACATTGTTAGTCTTAGGTTTCTCCACTTCTGTGTCTTCATATGCTCTGCATCGGCGTCTGCATGTACCCCACCTTAGGTCAGGCTACCGGATTTACCCAGCCGGTGTCAGATTTGTACTGCAACATTTTAGTTTTATTATGTAGTGGAGGCCCTTGATTTCAATGTTAATTAAATATCCTAGACTGATTCTTCTTTCTGCTCCACGAAAGTGTCTCTTTGTATAGATTTCACATAATAACATTCATCTTCTTTAGGTATGCTTTGGATGTAAATGTAGAGAGGGCAGAAGATGTTCTGATGCACAAGAGATTGCTGCATTCAGCTCATGATCCGGATAACAGGCCAGCAATCGAAGTTCGTCTCGTCCAGGTGAGTTGATTGCCAGATTTATAGCTATCGAGGCTTTTTGTTTTCTCTCCGCCCTACTCCTAAACTATTGAAGTCAACCCATTTAAATCACTTGGGGAGATATCTCCAGATTCAGCAGTTGCTTGTTCGGATTCCCCGGCCTGATCTTTCATCTTTTATGTTTGCCTCTGTGAACTTTTGGCTGTGTGGGCTCACAGGATGTTTGGTGACTGATCTTTTCTTAAGGTTCAACCTGCGGGGATCTCAGCTGACTCCACCACCTTGGACTCTCTTAGTAATGTGGCCGATCAAACTTCTCCTACTCTCTCTACCAGAAAAAGGTTTGCCTGTGAGGAGACCCAATTCTTCATTCTCTAGCATTCTATTAGAATAAATAAGTATCTCTACTCTATTTCAACCTCTGATTTTTGATTTATCTTCCACTTCCAGCATTCATCCGCCGCCTGCATTTGGTTCATCCCCCAATCTCGAAGCACTTGCACTTGCAGCAAGTATATCCCAAGACGAAGAGGGGGACAACTCTGTGCGTAACAATTCACTGTATTCACGGTATGTGCCTTCCTCATGTAGACCATAGGGAAATGCAACAACTGATGTTTGTATATGTGTTTTTTACTTCTGGCAAACGAATATTTCATTGTCGCAGTTCCAACTCACCCTATTAATTCACCCGCAGGCCCTTGCATGAGATAACCTTTTCCACAGAAGACAAGCCTAAACTCCTTTTTCAGGTATATGATCAGTGCTTGTTTACGGAACAAATTGGGTTTAGCAATTTGTTTTATGAAGTTGTTGTCACATGATTTATAGCTTTTCAATCGGAATTGCATAAAGTTGTGTGATCATTTTGATTCGCCAATGCTTACTAAGCCAGAGTAAATGATGCAGTTAACTGCATTGCTAGCTGAGCTTGGGCTGAACATTCAAGAGGCGCATGCTTTTTCTACAACTGATGGCTTCTCACTAGATGTTTTTGTCGTTGATGGTTGGCCATACGAGGTACTTTTTGTTGTTGTTGCTTTCCTTTTTCCTTCGATCTTTCAACGATATCGTGTAGTTTACTCTGTCTATGCTCTATAGAACAGAAGCGTGTTGGGATGTCCATCCATTTTTAAGAGGTCCTTTGACTTGGATTCCTTTGCTTTATTTTCAACCGTTTACTGATCCAACATCTGACACGCAAGTGTTTTTACATGAGAAAGATTCCGAGTTTTAACTGTGGCTGGTATGCTACCTTTTTCATTATTCAGGAAATAGACAGACTTAGGATAGCATTGGAGAAAGAAGCAGCAAAGATCGAGGTATTTGTCTTCCATTGCAAATTTAACTGCTTTCGTGCAAAATGTCAAATTGATGATCTATTGACTACTCTTTCCTTCGGATGCACTTAATTCGGAATAAAACGGAGTTGTGCGCTTCGTATGGAGTCTTAGACTTTTTCACAATGGCAACATCTCACGTTCATGTCTTGTTGCAAGTTAATAATAGTTTTTTTTATTACATTCAGTTGCAAGACCAAAGCTGGCCTATGCAGCAATCTTTTTCCCCTGAGAAGGAAAGCGGGCAAGCAGGTGCCAGAACGGCGAAAGATCATGTTGCAATACCCAATGATGGAACGGATGTTTGGGAAATCAACCTTAAAAACTTAAAATTTGGGCATAAAATAGCATCCGGTTCTTATGGAGATCTGTAAGTTGGCTCTAGCTATTAAAATGCATAGTCATTTTAAGATGCTCAGATGTTAATCTCTCAACATCCTCTTTCTCCCTACCTCTTGTATTATTTTAGGTATAAAGGCACATATTGTAGCCAGGAAGTTGCTATAAAAGTCCTCAAGCCAGAGCGTCTAGATTCTGAGCTAGAGAAAGAGTTTGCTCAAGAAGTCTTTATTATGAGGTTGGTGTGCCTTCATTTCTGTTCCCTTGTGAACTGATGTGCAGATAAACAATAGCATCTCAGATTCGTAAGATATCATTCAAAATCTTTATGTTTTCAGGAAAGTTCGGCACAAAAACGTCGTTCAGTTCATTGGAGCTTGCACCAAACCTCCTCATCTGTGTATAGTTACAGGTATGTTGCAGTGACCATCTTTATTCGCGTCATTCAGTTAGATATAATGTCCAATGCTTATTGTTTTCTTTTTGTCTTCCCCCCTCCTTTTGTCTCTTTAATATTTAATAGAATTCATGCCCGGTGGAAGTGTATATGACTATCTACACAAGCAAAAGGGCGTCTTTAAGCTCCCAGCTTTGTTTAAAGTAGCTATAGATATTTGCAAAGGGATGAATTACTTACACCAGAATAACATAATTCACAGAGATTTGAAGGCTGCCAACCTTTTAATGGACGAAAATGAGGTATATTCTCAACTCAAGAGTTATTGTTTTTGTTTTAGTCTTTATTCTCTATCTGCACACCAGGCACATCGAGTAGCTTTGTAGTGTAAATGTATGAATGGGCATTTGGTCCGAGTTAACATACTTTGGATGAAGCGCTACGCCATGTTAACGCTCAAATAACAGATTGTGCATATCCTTGAGCTTGTGTGCTACAGGATGCTTGTTATCATATTCTTTTTCACTCAGTCATTGTCCTGTTTCATAGTGGTGTGTTCTATTTTGGTATTACAGGTTGTTAAGGTTGCAGATTTTGGGGTGGCTAGAGTAAAAGCACAAACTGGAGTTATGACAGCCGAAACTGGAACATATCGGTGGATGGCTCCAGAGGTATGGTTGTCAGACGTTCTTTCCATGCCTTTTGATAGCTTAGAATGGCATATGTAAAATATATGTGACTTGGTCTCCGGTGGTTTTAACACTGATCTGCTTTGTCCATAAAACAGTAACAAAAAACAGTAGGTTAGCTATGAGATGAGTCGTAAGTATCTTTTGTGTTTAATTAACCTCAGTTCTGAAACAAAAGAAATGTTACTGGAAATCAGGTGATAGAACACAAGCCATATGATCACAAGGCTGACGTTTTCAGCTACGGGATTGTGCTATGGGAGTTGTTGACTGGCAAGGTAACTCTTATCTGAAAATAAAATAAAAATACAATGTCTTTCGAGGTAGAAAACGAGTAACTAAGTCATAAATGTGATGGCAGCTTCCATATGAATTCATGACGCCATTGCAGGCAGCAGTAGGGGTGGTCCAAAAGGTAAAGTTGATTTGCATTCCTTGTAAAAGCAACAAGTTACTAAACACAAAGGCATACATACTAAGAAAAAAAAAAACGGTTGTGGTGGTTGTCAGGGATTAAGGCCGACAATACCGAAGAACACGCATCCGAAGATGAAAGAGTTATTGGAGAGATTGTGGGAGAAGGATCCAACGCTGAGACCGGACTTCTCAGAGATAACAGAGCAGCTGCAACAGATAGCAAAGGAAGTAAGTAAGAGAAAGAAGGATGGGATTGAGAGAAAGAATGTGTAATAATTGATTGAAATGAGTGTGTGTGTGTGTAGGTAGGAGAAGAGGGGGAGGAGAAGAAAAAAGCTTCAACAGGAGGTGGCATATTTGCGGCCCTGAGGAGAAGCACAACACATCACTGATAATTGCAAAGAAGATGGTCTTCACTGATAACCATTTATCCTTTATATCCCCTCTTCTCAAGACTGTATAGCAATTTACAGAGTTTGTGTGTTTGCTATTCAATTGATTTTGATCCTTTCTTTTTTTTTTTTTTTTTAAGTTATACGTATAACCCCCACATTGTGTACTACTTTCAAATCTCAAACTCAATTTAATGAAAAAAACTCGAATAGTAGCAACAGTAAATACAGATTTATTTTTCTGTTTAAATAAACGGGACTAACTAACAACCCTAATTAATCACAAGTTTATTTCGTTTCGGAAGAGAGAGAGACAGACGGTACGGTATATATATATATATGAGAGTGGATCTGGTTCCCACCACCATCCTTGTCGTCTTGGTCCCTATCGTTCAATCTGTCAATTACGGTTGCTCCGAATAGCTATGAGTGGACGGCCGGCCAAACGGCCGAGAACCACCGACCATTCCGTCGTGAAAATCTGGGAAAGGGAGTTGGGTCAATTGCCCAATCGCAATTTCTCCAACCGTTTTTCAGCCTCTGAGGTCTCTCCCTTCTTCTTCTTCTTCTTCTTCTTTTCCGCTTTTCCTTTCCACGCTGCGAACTTCAATTTTTAGGGATTCTTATTGAAATCGGACAAATTTAGTTTCTCTTCTGGTTGGTATCGTTTTACCCAATGCATCGTTTCGAGAATGTGTTAGTTGTACAAGGATGGCTATTGGAAGAAATCAAGCATTGACTCATTGGATATTTGCGCATTGTTTTTGAGCAGGATCTATTGCAGCGTCTCGGGCTCCACAAGAAGCTCCAAGAGCATAGGGGTTGTGTAAACACAGTAAGCTTCAATGCAGACGGAGAGATCCTCCTTTCAGCTTCTGACGACAGGCAAGTCATACTTTGGAACTGGGAGGCTGCTGCCGTCAAACTCTCATTCGATTCTGGCCATTGCAACAACATATTCCAAGCCCAATTTATGCCTTTCTCTGACGACCGCAGCATTGTCACTTGTGCTGCTGATGGACAGGTCTGTAACATCTTTTGCTTATTTACAACTTCTCCGCTTATTCGTATTGTATGTATGACATCCCATCTCTCAGGTCCGCTATGCCAAAATTCTCGAGTCCGGACAAGTAGAGACAAGTCTGTTGGGTAAACATCATGGACAGGTCCACAAATTGGCCGTTGAGCCTGGAAGTCCATTCTCATTCTTTACTTGTGGCGAGGACGGGGTTGTAAAGCATGTGAGTTTGTGTTTCTTTTGTCTCTCATCTTGTTTTTGTTTGTTGGTGACCTATAACAAGTTATGATCTCATACCTTTTTCAGTTTGATCTTAGGACTCGGGTGGCTACAAATCTTTTCACTTGTAAAGAGGCAAAGTACAATTTAATAGTCTACTTGAATGCAATTGCAGTTGATCCGAGGCACCCGCGTCTTTTGGCGGTGGCTGGAATGGACGAGTATGCTCGTGTCTACGATATTCGCAGCTATCGCTCTGAGGGTTGGTATCATTATGCCCAGCCCGTAGACCACTTTTGTCCTGCGCATTTGATTGGAGTCGACCATGTGGGAATCACTGGCCTGGCTTTCTCTGATCAAAGCGAGCTCCTTGCTTCATATAGTCACGACTTCATCTATCTTTTCAGCCCTGGTATGGGGCTGGGCCCAGACCCCTCTTCGGAGAGTGAGAGGAGTACGCCACAGGTTTACAAAGAGCACAAGAACCGTGAAACAGTCAAAGGTGTCAACTTTTTTGGACCCAAGTGTGAGTATGTGGTTAGTGGTTCTGACTGCGGCCGAATATTCATCTGGAGGAAGAAAGACGGAGAGCTTCTCCGTGCAATGGAAGCAGATAATCATGTTGTCAACTGTGTGGAGTCTCATCCTCACATGCCACTCATGTCTAGTAGTGGAATCGAGTCTGACATCAAAATATGGACTCCTGGAGGAACCGAGAAGCTCACTTCGCCGGGAACTGCAACACAGGTAATCCCATCTATTCCTTACTAATGTAGTTTGAAGAACCGGACATGCCTTTGGTGATACAATACATCTGACCCATATGGGTTTGGCAGAGATAAACTAATTGCCTGTATGTTGCAACAGGCTTCGGTTTCTGGTAACCCTCGTTGGTTCCTGTTTTATGATGAAGAGGGAGATGATAATACCCGCGCGTTTTATGTGGAAGATGACGATGAAGAAGACGATGATTCTGATGATGATGAGAGTTCAGATGATGATGATAGTGCGGAAGACGAGGAGAATGGTGAAGTCGATGTTGAGATTACCAAGGATGATGATGATTGCGATGATAGTGATGGTGCTACTGATGATGATTGCGATGATAGTGATGGTGGTAATGGTGATGGTTGCGATGATAGTGATGGTGGTAAGGATGATTTTGAAGGCCGGGGTTGAGGATGAAGATGATACCGTCTCTCGATTAACAAGTACACATGTATTTATCCAACCACAAAAAATATTCAGCAGAAAGTTTTTTTTTTTTTTATGGTTTAGGTGATCTTGGATATTGTCTGATAGTTGAGAATTCAAAATATATAAATAAAGGAATCAGTCTGAACTGAACTTGTATTGGGTATATATGTTCTTGACCGGAGATTTTTTTGATATTTTCACTTTGCAAGCATATTATCCAATTGAAAACAAACATATTTTTTGTTTTAGTTTTGGAATTCCATTTAATAAAGTCCAAAGGCCTTATGTATTTGGTCCAGCCCATTGAAGTGTCCATATGATAAGCCTAACAATGTAAAACGGGTTTTTTATCTATCGAATTGGAAGCCCAAAAGACCTTATGTATTTGGTCCAGCCCATTGAAGTGTCCATATGATAAGCCCAACAATGTAAACCGGGCTTTTTAGCAATCGAATTTGACGCCCAAAAGGCCATTAGGGGTGCGAAATGGGCCCAACAGGGGTCCGAAATGGGCCCATTAGGGGTGCGAAATGGGCCCAACAAGAATCCGAAATGGCCCCAACATGGGTGCTAAACGGGCCAAGCAATGGTGCTAAATGGGCTCAACAAGAGTCCGAAATGGGCCCAACATGGACCAACTAGAAGTACTAAATGGGTCCAACATGGGTGCTAAATGGGCCCAACTAAGGATGCTAAACAGGCCAACTAGGGTAAGCCCGGCAATGGTGCTAAATGGGTCCAACATGATGCAAAATAGGCCCATTAGGGGTGCGAAATGGGCCTAAAAAGGGCTCACCATGTGTACAAAATGGGCCTATCAGGGGAACGAAATGAGCCCAACAGGAGTACGAAATGGACCCAATATGGGAGCTAAACGGGCCAAGCATTAGTGCCAAATCGGCCCAAGGGGAGTCTGAAATGGGCCCAACAGGGTCCGAAATGAGCCTAACAGGGATCCGAAATAGGCCCAACAGATGTCTGAAAAGGGCCCAACATAAGCCAACAGGATGCGAAATGATTAGGGGTGCGAAATGGGCCCAACAGCACACACTAAAAAATGTTAAATTTTTGAGTTTTTTAATTTTCTTTTCAAGATGTATGTATTAACACACACAAAAAATATTAAATTTATGAGTTTTTTTTTAATTTTCTTGTGAATATATGTGTAAGACAAAGAAAGAAATTATATTTTTTCTCCTATTCCTGCAGAAAAATAGCTCAACGCCAGGATGATGAAATGCTTTGTGAGATCGTCAATAAAGTACCAAGGGTATTTTTACTATCACACACACAAAATATTAAATTTTTGAGTTTTTTAATTATTTGCTAAGAAGAAAATGTTAAATTTTTGAGTTTTTTTTAATTTTCTTGTCAAGATATGTGTACTAACATACACAAAAAATGTTAAATTTTAAAGTTTTTTTTGTTTTTCTGCCAAGATGTGTGTATTAACACACACACACACACACACACACACACACAAAATATTAAATTTAGAAGTTTTTTTATTTTGTTGCCAAGAAGTGTGTATTAACACACATAAAAAAATGTTATATTTTCGAGGTTTTTTTAGTCTTCTTGTCAAGATATGTGTATTAACACAAACACACACACACAAATTTTGGCAAAATGGGGTCCTCGACATTCCAAGTACACAAAATACATCTTATCCGGTATCTCCTGTTGCAGTCAACCACTCCAAAGTTCTGAATGCAGTCCAGGTCTGTTTATGGAACTTGCTAGCCATTTATTTCTTCTTGTAAAATAGTCTAGTTTTGAACCAAAATGTTAAATTTGCGATTTTTTTAATTTTTCTTGCTAAGATGTGTGTATTAACACACACACACACACACACACACACACACAAAAAATGTTAAATTTTTGAGTTTTTTTTATTCTTCTTGTCAAGATATGTGTATTAACACACACAAAAAAAAAACTAAATTTTGTTTTTTTTTATTTTCTTGCCAAGATATATGTATTAACACACACAGAAGAAAATGTTAAATTATTGAGTTTCTTTCTGTGAATTTTTCTTTCTTAAGTTTGCAGGACTAATTTTTTTATTTTCTTGTCAAGATGTGTGTATTAACAAAACACAAGAAAATGTTAAATTTTCGAGTTTTTGAATTTTTTGTCTAGATATGTGTATTCACAAACAAAAAAATGTTAAATTTGCGAGTTTTTCAATTTTTTTTACCATGATGTGTGTATTAATACACACAAGAAAATTTTATATTTTCGAGTTTTTTTTTTAATTTTCTTGTCAAGATATGTGTATTAACACACAAATACAAAAAAAAAAATTTCGAGTCTTTTAATTTTCTTGTCAAGATGTGTGTACTAACACACAAAAGAAAATGTTATATTTTTGAGTTTTTTTTTTAATTTTCTTTTGAATATATGTGTACTACCACACACACAAAAAAATTTAAATTTTCGAGTTTTTCAATTTTTTTGCCAAGATGTGTGTATTAACACACACAAAAATGTTAAATTATTGAGTTTTTTTAATTTTCTTGTCAAGATATGTGTACTAACACACACACACAAAATGTTAAAATTTTGAGTTTTTTAATTTTCTGGCCAAAATATGTGTATCAACACACACAAGAAAATGTTAAATTTTTGAGTTTTTTTAATCTTCATGTCAAGATATGTGTACTAACACACACAAAATATTAAAATTTTGAGATGTATTACAAGAAAATGTTAAATTTTTGAGTTTTTTTTTTTAATTTTCTTCTGAATATATGTGTACTTTCAGACATTCACAAAATGTTAAATTTTCGAGTTTTTTAATTTTTTTTGTCAAGATTTGTGTATTAACACATACAAGAAAATGTTAAATTTTTGAGTTTTTTTTTTAATTTTCTTGTCAAGATATGTGTACTAACACACACACACAAAATGTTAAAATTTTGAATTTTTTTAATTTTCTTGTCATAATATGTGTATTAACACACACAAGAAAATGTTAAATTTTTGATTTTTTTTTTAATTTTCTTGTCAAGATATGTGTACACACACACACAAAAAATGTTAAAATTTTAAGTTTTTTAATTTTCTTGCCAAGATGTATGTATTAACACACACAAGAAAATATTAAATTTTTGAGTTTTTTTTTAATGTTCTTGCGAATATATTTGTACAATCAGACACTCACAAAATGTTAAATTTTCAAATTTTTTAATTTTCTTGTCAAGATGTGTGTATTTACACACAGAAGAAAATGTTAAATTTTGAGTTTTTTTTAATTTTCTTGTGAATATATATGTGTACTATCACACACACAAAAATGTTAAATTTTTGAGTATTTTAATTTTCTTGCCAATATGTGTGTACTTAACACACACAAGAAAATATTCAATTTTTGAGTTTTTTTTTTATTTTTTTTTGTCAAGATAGGTGTACTAACACACACACACAAAAATGTTAAATCTGCGAGTTTTAAAATTTTTCTTGCTGTGATGTGTGTATTAACACTCACACAAGAAAATCTTATATTTACGAGTTTTTTTTTAATTTTCTTGTCAAGATATGTGTATTAACACACACATACACAAATGTTAAATTTTTGAGTTTTTTAATTTTCATGCCAAGAAATGTGTATTAACACACACAAGAAAATGTTAAATTTATGAGTTTTTTTTTTAATTTTCTTGTGAATATATGTGTACTATCACACACACACACAAAATGTTAAATATTCGAGTTTTTTAATTTTCTTGCCAATATGTGTGTACTTGACACACACAAGAAAATGTTAAATTTTTGAGTTTTTTTAAATTTTCTTGTCAAGATATGTGTACTAACACACACACAAAAAATGTTAATTTTGCAAGTTTTTTAATTTTTCTTGCCGTGATGTGTGTATTAACATTCACACAAGAAAATCTTATATTTTCAAGTTTTTTTTTTAATTTTCTTGTCAAGATATGTGTTTTAACAAACACAAATGAAAATGTTAAATTTGGAGTATTTAAAGTTTTTTTATCAATATGTGTGTATTCACAAACAAAAAAAAATGTTAAATTTGTGAGTTTTTTTTAATTTTTCTTGCCGTGATGTGTGTATTAGCACACACACAAGAATATCTTATATTTTTGAGTTTTTTTTTCTTTAATTTTCTTGTCAAGATATTGGTATTAACACACACACACAGACACACAAGAAAACGTTAAATTTTTGAGTTTTTTTTTAATTTTCTTGTGAATATATGTGTACTATCACACACCAAAAAATGTTAAATTTTTTAAGTTTTTTAATTTTCTTGCCAAGATGTGTGTACTAACACACAGAAGAAAATGTTAAATTTTGAGTTTTATTAATTTTCTTGTGAATATATGTGTACTATCACACACAGAAAAAATGTTATATTTTCGAGTTTTTTTAATTTTCTTGCCAAGAAGTGTGTATTTACACACACAAGAAAATATTAAATTTTTGAGTTTTTTTAATTTTCTGGTCAAGATATGTGTACTAACACAGATACACATAATTTTTTTAAAATTTTAGAGTTTTATAATTTTCTTGCCAAGATGTGTGTATTAACACACACACAAGAAAACTTTAAATTTTAGAGTTTTAATTTTATTTTTCTTGTCAAGATACATATATTAACACACACAAAAAAATTGTTAAATTTTTAAGTTTTATAATTTTTTACCAAGATGTGTGTATGAACACACACAAGAAAATGTTAGATTTTTGATTATTTTAAATTTGCTTCTCAAGATGTGTGAATTAACACACACAAAAATGTTAAATTTACGAATTTTTTAATTTTTTCTTGTCAATATGTGTTTATTAACACACACAAAAAATGTTAAATTTCGAGTTTTTTTAATTTTCTTGCTAAAAAGTGCGTATTAACTGTGTATTAACAAACACAAGAAAATGTTAAATTTCGAGTTTTTTTTTAATTTTCTTGTCAAGATGTGTGTCTTAACACACATAAGAAAATGTTAAATTTTTGAGTTTTATTAATTTTTTTGCCAAGAAGTGTGTATTAACACACCCAAGAAAATATTAATTTTTTGAGTTTTTTTAATTTTCTTGTCAAGATATGTGTACTAACAGATATACACACAAAAAATGTT